GGGGGGGGGGGGGGGGGGGCAAACGATGCCGGAAGATGCGAGATTCTTTCCTATCATTATGATTGTTTAAGAACCGGCCGCAAATAACGAGTTTGCGTGGTCGGACCTTGTCTTATCACGATAACGTCTCAGGAAGAAAGAGAGAAAGAAAGAGCGAGAGCGAGAGGAAGAAGAGTAGAGAGAATCCTCGCGAAAGATAATTACGTCGAGGAGCGAACGTGTCTCATCAGACTACACGTATGCTTAACGCTTCTTTTGGCGTACCTCCCCCCCTCCCCCCTCTCTCTCATCCTCCTTGGACGGGTCAATTACAGGCGAGTACCAGCTTTCATTTTTGAAAGCTGCAATACGCGAAGACGCAGGTTCTTTTGATGAAAACAAATTAACGCTATCAATCACCAACATTATTGTATATTGTTATAGGAAGATAGCATCGTTAAATATAAAAAAGAATCCGTATTTGACGGATCCGATACGGATAATTTTTTCAGGAAGAGATTTTTTCAGCATTCGTGATCGAAATAGCTCGGTCGGATGCAATTACAAAGTCAATTCACGATCATCGGTCATTTCGTTGCTCGGATATTGCGACAATCGTTCGCGAGTTAAGATTGAAAGTCGGCTTAGCTGGGTCTATGTAAGAGATACAATACGTTCTTTATGATATAACGAATATGTAGGGAGCCACGTTTGTATGTAACGACGCGAACGCTGGATTGCGTAACATGCCAGCAGAATCGCCCGCAGAAATTGTTAATGGGTTTCGTGTAAAACCGCGACGTTGTATTTCCGGATGGGAGAGGTTGTTGCATGTGCTTGTGCATTAAAGTCTATTTCTTCAAGCCGCACAATTTGCGGCACCTTCGACGCGGAAAATATCAATTCAAGCAGAGCCTTTTTTTTCAGGAAAAAAAGAAACATGTAATTTGAAATTTGTACATATTACTTGTTTATAAAATATCTCGTTTGTAAACGTGTTTGTAAACGTGTTTGTAAATTATTTGAAGAACTCTCGTATCACTTTGTTTGCATCTTCGGTATCGCGTCCCCCTAATGGAATATTTTGAACATCTCTGTAAAGGAAGAATTTCTAACTTTCCTCTCAAGAAGAATTTACATACGGAAGTTTGTTAACTGATTAGCGCATTACGTTAGTTTCATAGGTTTCGTTAGTTGAGGAAGTAACGCAAGACTCACGCTACGCGCGTACACGCTTCGAAAAGATGTTTTCATTAGCAAAAAGCAATTGCAACATGCCGAGATTTTCGCTTAAATTTCTATTGACACAGTTAGCTCTTCGGTACATACGAGATGGATGTAAAACATTTTTGCTTTTCTTTAAAATTCTGATTTTTTATAAAAAGTTATTGATTCGAGTATTAACAGACAAACGAGATGAATCCATTAGATGTCTGGAAGAATATCAAGTCGAAAATATTTCATTTTATTAAATTATTCGAAATTCGTTTTTAATTTTACTGTTTTATTTGACTGAATAGAAAAAGCTTTTTAATTTTACTGTTTTATTTGACTGAATAGAAAAAGCTCGTTGATTCTGCCAACCCATGCGTTATCGTAGAGACGTTAAAGCGAATAAACTTGATAAGAGAAATTTAGCATTTGTCATTATTTTTTATCAGCTTTGTTACTCTTATTTTCGACTTGCATTAAATGTGTCACGAGTAAGTACGATGATCCATCTGAGAAGTGCACTTTCGCGGGGTTTGCCAAATCATCTTACCCGGGATTTCTCGAGCGGGGAAAACGGATAATATTTTGGAAAGCTGGTAATGAAACAGCGAAATTCACTTTGCTATGATGTGTTCGTTCTCTTCGTTTACATTGTGCGTCATCAACACGTTTGTGTCCGCTGTGGTCGTTGGCATGTTATTGTTGGCGTACTGGTTCAAAATGTATTCGATTCCGGCGAAATTTCGCGTAGAAATATTCTCGCTTCCGTACGTAACAAGTATCACTTAAATACATTTCTGTCGTTTTCTCATCAGCAAGCAATAACCATTCATCCTGCCTTCTCGCAAGATTCTCACGCTCAATGCACTTTCTTCTCATCTTCTCTTCTTCCTTTCTAAACAGGGACACGTCGAAAAGGTTCTAGTGGACGTTACATTCGACAAGAGGTTATCGTTCCGAGTTTACAGCTCGTCCATTACAAGACATGTCTTTTTCTTACGACGACCAATAAGCGGATTCGATAATAATTCTGCGCGTCTCGTCTCGATCATGCGTCAGCGACAGAACTTGCGCATTCCCGTGACATAGTGAAAGTAAGCAACTCGATTATCTGCTCGAAGGCAAAAAAAATCGAAAGGACAGCTGGTACGTCGTATCGGAAGAAAGTCAAAGTGATTCCATTACGCTGCCGCTATACTCTCTTGGTTTCTCGCTTCCTCATCTCTCAAGCGCGACGGACACCCAAAAATAGTCATACAAGCACAAGTCCAAATACAGATTACGTTGACTACGATGATTGCGATTTATAGCTGGAGATGGGTATAAATTATGTAAAATGTATTCTTAGCGCGGAAGTCCATAAATTAAGACGTCAAAGAGCGCGAGTAATATTTCATCGCAAACAATTTCTTCAGAATTGAACGCCGATGTAGATTTGTTAAGCAAATTTTTCCACACGCATATATTCGCGACCAAAGCTAAAATTTATATATATTATAGTTGTTAATTAACAGTTTATTCAGATATTTTTTCAACCTGATGATATAAATATCTTCGAGGAAAAGCCTCACCGTGCACAACGATTTATGATATATACACTATATATATTTGAGAATATAATAATTATAAAAAAGAGGCGCAATAATTATAAGTAATAAAACTGTTATTTACACACATATATATATAAGCATATGTATTTATGATTGGACCGTAAACAACAATTTCCATTTCGCGAATTGATGAATCTACGGTTTACGGAAATAACAAATTGCGGTCGACATGTTCGAGCTAGGATGTGTGCCCGTATGTTTTAATTGCTTCCTATTTTCACGAGCGCTTTCAGTCTCTTGGTCATTACAATCCACGACGGATGCTCTTGTCTGAACTCGAAGAGAAAATCCCAATTCTCCTCGGCAGTTTCTATCGGGGACATTAAACATCGTAAGTTCCTACTGCAAAAAGTTTAGTAAGTAAATCATAATTCTTACAGTAACAGTTTCTAATTCTATTAAATTTCATCGTAACTTAGAACGGCGAAACCGTATATTTCTCGACGCGAATGTATCAATGGTTAACAATAATAATAGAAAACTCGCGAATAAAAAATGCGGCATTTTGAAGCTCCCAAATTCAAATTTTACATTCAGACCCGTTTAAATAGATATATTTTAAAAACCGAGAGATCTACGAAATATGTGCAAAATATTTTTGTGTGACTATGAAAGGTATTGAGTATTTCTGTCAGATTTTTGTGAAAAATCTTTGCACGCGTTGTATCAATTTGCGATATTAAATAACAGCGTCCAATTGCAATCGTACATTTTCGAATCTGACACGTAGGGGAATGCCTTTCTCATCTCATCGTAGCGGCGCATTTCACGATGCAAAGCCGCAAAGCGATGAAGCGGCGCATTTCGTAATGCACGTGAGAACAATTTCGTCGCACTCGATGCGCGCGTGCGTCCGCCATCTGCGGATTCACTTTGACTTTCTTCCTTAGGGTTACCGTTGCTCCTCGCAGCGAAAAGCGGTGCATACAGGTTGCCTTTCACTGATGCGACGTGAGGTCAACGAAGATATGTCGATCGCATCGACGTGGAAGCGTGATTGGGAAGATAGAGGCGAGCGAGAAAAGAACGTATCGACATTCTCGACGAGTGACGAACAACTGATAAATCAACTAACAAATCGTAAATCATGACCTTTGTGTCTTATGTTATTACAACTATTGTTAGATTCGTTAAAAAGATAGAAAAGAAAAGGTAAAAAATTTCCGACAAATTTTGTACGTTTATAAATGAGATATATATATTTACTTATTTATTTATTTATTTATTTATTTATTTATACCAATATATTATATAGCATATATTATATAGGATATGCTAATCAAGCGTTTCTGTTGTAAACTTTCGGTCAGTTTGACCAACGAGCGTGTGTACGTTTGCGAATTTTACATAACGCGTGGATGATAATTTCTCTTTTGATTATTTGACGTTCACGAGGACATTCATCCCCACTTCCATTAACTGTATTTTATTTGAAACTGCTCGGTACGATTTAGCCGTCGATATAAAAAGCGGTAGAAAGTCCATTCCCCTCACGGTAGCGATCGCTTAAGAGGGACCTTGATAATAATTATCGAGAAAGTCATTACTGGTTGTATCGCGTGTGTCGCGTGTCATTGCTTGGTTACACGTCAACGTTTGCATACGCTGTCGACGTCCGCCGTCAATTGAATCTCTACAATTCAACAGGTTTTGCTATTTTAATTGTTTGATAATCAATCACAACTCTCATAACACATGTTATTAAAAGAAGCAAACTTGTCGTTAAGAAAAAAAAAACTTATTATATTTATCGTTTGTTTGAAGATCTTGCTTCGAGACGTTTCTCCTAGCGAGAACAAATCAACTTAACGGTGAATCAACAAACTTACGAGTCGGCGAAATTTACCGAAAATTGTATCTCCCCTTCCCCTCCTTCCCCTCTTTTCCATCTATTATCTATTCTGTGTTATTAAATGCAAATCGAGCTACGTGCGAGCTACGTTTCGCGAGAGTTCCTGCATTACGGTATTAACGACTCGCAGCAACGCGATCGTCTCGTACAATCTGTCGCTCCGCATTCACTATGAAGCATGAACGCGATCCCCTCCTAACTGAAGATGTACCAAGAAGAGTCGGGATGCAACACCCCCCATTTAGCCACTATAGTAATGCTCTCTTGGTACCCCTCCTCGAAAGGTCCGAGTGTCTAGGGTACCATAAGCGTCTAGGCGGAGGTGTACATTCGCTATAAAAGCCACGGATGTCACTACGAATTCGACAGAAGAGTGACGAAGCGTAAAAAAGGGACGGCAGTCGGCGCCGTTCTTGCCGTTTTATTTTCTTTCTCTCTTCTTTTCTCTCCACAGTGGGCGACAACCCTCGTCGGTGGGAGACATGCGGTTCATTCTGGTCAGTGTTCATTATCATCGTGCTTTTGTCTATCATTAGCTTTTCGGTCCGTGTGCTTTCGGTCAGTGCGCGTCGTGATACATGTGAGCTTTTTCTTAAGACGGAAAGTGACAGGGGTTCGTCGGTATAAGAATTACGTATATAGGAAAAATCGTTGTTATATATATACATATATATAACAACGGTTTTTGATATGTATTTCGACCGGACATGTCGCGCGGTACAGTGACACATCCTGTGCGCGTTATCCTTTCGATTCCAACTTCTTCCGGTCGCGGATCGCTTCAATAATCCTGTGCATACATAGATTTACATAGTGTGATTAAACGTTCGAAAACATCAACACGTAGTAACACCTGTTAAATATCTTGAATCAAACGCTTGGGCACGTTATTTTTGGAGACGCGCTTATATTTTCGAACAATTGAATAAATGAGTGATTTCATGTAAATGCAACTGTTCCTCGTATCACATTGTTTTGAGCGCAAAAATTGGCATTTTCAATACGATCGATTAATTGTCGGTCACACACCGTGAGACATATTTTTCGTTTCTCGGAAGCGGTACTTATTCTTAACATCATGTTCGCCTTTCGTTTTCATCCCGACGCGAGAAAAGTACCGGCACAACCGATACTATGACCTTAAAGAACGAAACAGTAGCGCTGCGTCATAACCGGCGAGTGGTTGTAGACGAGGCGGTAAATTGCTGCCATTTCCCAACGGCAATTGCTATAAGCGGGTATTCTTGTCACTTTTCACTCGCGCGGAATGGAAAGTTTTGCAAACGGGAGCTGTGCTGGAAGTACCGCGCGAAAATATATCGGTATCGACTATCGTACATGGGATTCAATGGGAATGCTATGATGCGACGCGACGCGAATTCCCAAGTGGCAAAGTCAAAGTCTCTTTCTAGGATTCCAGACACGTCTGTCTAGAATGCTCCGTTTCCACGCGATCTCTCCACCTCGACATTTAAACAAACGATCTTTACGAGAAAACATATGAAAGTCCACCTCGTTTTAAAGTCAATTTCATCGAATTACCTTCGAAAAATTGTCTCAACCTCCGTAAACATACGAGAGAGAGAGAGAGAGAGAGAAAGCACATTCAGAAAATTAGATATTTCTTATTTTTAATTGCTTCACCGAACATATTCGAAGACCATCAGAATCAATGAGGAACATATGTTTCCTCGCCAAACAAATCATTCTTCTCACGTCCTTCATACTCGATAGCCCGCAAGTCCGTTATTTGCAATCGCTAGTATCTCGAGATAACTATCTCAATCTCCCGGACGTTTTCGTTCGGAAGATACAGCCGATTAGTCCAAAAGGCCGATTTAAGAATTCATAATTGGAAGGTAACGCGATCAGTCCACGGTATGTTTTCGAATGTATTCCGATATCGATGCGATCAAATAGTTGGAGAACGACCATCCGCCGAGATCTCCGAAACGTGTTTCCCAACTCCGCGGGATTAGACCGTGTCGTACCGCCTAAGGATAATATCCGGCGAGAAAGAAGAGAAACAGGAAAGAATCTCTCGAAAGGGAACCCACTTTCGCAAAGCCCGACGAGTTAATCGCCGGGTCCGGGCCTTACGGTCCCGGAGGCCCCTTCTGGGAACGTAAAGAGACAAGAAGAGCCGGTGGGGACACGTCGACCTAATTTACGCTTGTTTACGTCGGCCGTGTATTCACACGCGGCGGCGGACACTTTCATTTTTGAGAGATGCACTCGTAAAGCCCGCGAGCGATATAGAAATCCACGAGTACCATCCCTCAATGACGAGGACGATTCGCGCGAGGAAAAGCCGTGGTAGAGTTTTGACGGCCGCTGATTACGCGGATGCGATAATTACGGGGTCGCGACACGCTCGAGAGAGAGGACGATTAATGCGGCGGAGGCGGCGGTACCCTCTTTAGCATCGATCGCATGATTAGCGTACCCCTGTTCTTACACGTAGATGAACGCGAGATAACGAACACGCGGACGTTGCGGTGATTAACACTTGACCCTGAGTCATCATTCGATCGAAACGCTTCTCGTTTTCTTTTTCGAACGTTAGCTTCGGGTCGTCGTCTATATTTGCTCGTTATTCCTGATAAATTGATATTTTCCAAGATTGTTAGTCCAACACAAAAAACCGTCTTGCTCGAATCGATCGTTTATTTGTTGTCAGTGTTACATTGGTTTGCATTCGCTGTTAGATTTTAACTTGGCTTTTACTTTTCACGATGGAGAACACGATATTATCGTCTTTCCGACTCTCCCTTGCTGAATTTCTATTAAAACATCGTCATCGCCATTATCATCGTCAGTCACAATAGACAATGTAAATGCGAATCTCTCGCATAGAGGTCTTTACGGAACTAATTAAAAAGATTCTTTCAGACAATATTGTGCGGCCTCTTTGTTATCTCTGCGCTTGGAGACCCGATTAGAACAAAGAGAGAGTGAGTACATAATGAGTTATTAGCATACGGTATTTAAGGAAAAAACTCAGACAAGATGTAGAAATTCTCGTGTGCATCTTATACAAATGAATTTTAATTAACATAATTAATAGTAAGACTAAATGATAATTAATAACATGACAATTAATAACAATTAGACTAAGTGATAAAAATAAATTTCATCACATTCTATAATCCTGCACCTGCATGTAATTGAATGTAAATCTAGCGTGTATATGATTAAATGAAATTAATAAATAAGCTTCTTTGTGTTAACGAAGAAATTTGTCGGCGAACTTCTTGCAAGATCGAGTCTATTCCATTCTAATGGAATAAACATTGCAGGCCTCCCATAAGCTCGCAATATGGACCGCCGTTGAACGGTCACGGACCACCGTCGACGTCGTACGGAGTACCGTCCGACTCCTTCAGTCCGCCATCCAAGTCTTACGGTGCGCCCTCCGACTCGTACGGTGCACCACCTGCACCCCCGTCGTCGTCTTACGGCGCGCCATCGTCATCGTACGGTGCACCATCCGTGCCTTCGTCGTCCTACGGTGCACCATCCGTGCCTTCGTCGTCCTACGGTGCACCATCCGGGCCCTCTTCGTCTTACGGGGCACCAGCCGGGCCCTCTTCGTCTTATGGGGCACCCTCACAGAGTTATGGTCCACCGTCGACTAGTTATGGCGTGCCATCAGGCGGTGATCACGGATCTTTCGGCGGTCACGGCGCGGGATCTCATGATTTCGGAGGTGGCGGCGGCGGTGGTGGCGGTCATCACGGATCTTTCGGCGATCACGGCGCGGGATCTCACGATTTCGGAGGTGGCGGCGGCGGCGGTGGCGATCATCACGGATCTTTCGCCGATCACGGCGTGGGATCTCACGATTTCGGAGGTGGCGGCGGCGGTGGCGGTGGTCACGGATCTTACGGCGGCCACGGCGCGGGATCTCACGATTTCGGAGGTGGTGGCGGCGGTGGCGATGGTCACGGATCTTACGGCGGCCACGGCGCGGGATCTCACGATTTCGGAGGTGGCGGCGGCGGCGGTGGCGGTGATCACGGATCTTACGGTGGTCACGGCGCGGGATCTCATGATTTCGGAGGTGGCGGCGGCGGAGGATCCTACGACAGTGGTCACGGTTCCTTCGGCGGCGATCACGGATCTATCGGAGGCGGTTCTCTCGGCGATCATCACGGATCGAGTGGTTTCGGCAGTGGCGGCGATTTCGGATCGTCTTCCGGATCTTACGGGGCGCCGCCTTCGGGATCATACGGACCTCCGGCGCATGATCAACCGAAAGGCGTGTGGAAGAAGAAACTGGTATGGAAGCCCGAGTGGAAGCAAATCTGGAAGACAGAGTCTAAGCTGATTTGGAAGCAAGAGTGGAAGAAGGTGCAGGTGCCGGTTTGGAAGGACATTCAAGTGCCTGCTTGGAAGGAGATTAAAGTGCCAGTCTGGAAAAAGGTTCAAAAGCCCGTTTGGAAAGAGATACAAGTACCAATCTGGAAGGAGGTCCAAGTGCCGGCTTGGAAGAAGGTCTGGAAACCCGTATGGAGAGAAATACAGGTGCCGATATGGAAGGAGATCCAGGTGCCCGACTGGAAGAAGATTTGGGTACCGGAATGGATTAAGATCGGTATACCCGGTGAGCAATACGTGGGAAAGGACCATCATGGCTGGCAATATACCAGTCACGATCTCTGGAAGAAGAAACTGATCTGGAAGCCGGTATGGAAGAAGATCTGGAGAACCGAGAAGAAACAGATCTGGGTGAGCGAGAAGAAATTAGAATGGAAAGCCGAATGGAAGCAAATCTGGAAGACGGAGAAGAAGCAGGTCTGGGTGACGGACAAGAAATTGATCTGGAAGGAAGAATCGGTGCAGGTATGGGTGCCCCAGAAGAAGCAGATCTGGGTCACGCAGAAGAAGCAGGTGTGGAAAGACGAGTGGAAGAGCAAGTGGGTTCCGGTTTGGAAAGACGTGCAGGTACCGGCTTGGAAAAAGATCTGGAAGCCCGTCTGGGAGAAAGTTTGGGTGCCCATTGAGTCCCATCACGATGAAGGTCATCACGGCTACAAGTAAGATCGTCGTCGTCGAGGGTCACGCTCGGCCGACTTCGATTTTCCTCCTTTGTTCATTTCGCGTCTCGCTCGAAGGTCCGAGAGACTGGTGGAAAATTCTGTCGAAGAATTCAAGAAGCGTGAGCTATCAAGAAAGTTGCTCGGACCTTATAGATTTGTGATAATTGATTGCCCACAAATGGACACGCATCCGGGGAGGAAAGTCTTGAAGTAAAGTCCAGCCGATAGACGTATGCTAGAAGGAGAGAAAGGCATATGGTTAACAGCTAGAAAGCATCGCGACGGATGAGATACGCACCGGAGGAATGAGCGAGGGAATTTTTCAATCGATTATCCTGGTGACAGCGCGTTTGCGTTATATTGTTGCGTATCCTTCGACGGTTGACGAACCTTTTCCTTCGGATTGCTCAAAGTGGCCGAATATTTCATCGTCAAGATGTCATCGTGACGGATACAGCGATATTATCTGCGCGAATATTATCTAGATAGTATTTCAAGAGAAGGCAAAATCAAACAAGTTGTCACTAGAAAACTGTCCATAATGCTTGTGAAGGAATAGTGTTACAGTCTGTATGTCATTTACGTTAGACGAAACGTTTAATATCTTAAAATCGCTTTACGCTCAATAATCCAGTAATCCAATCTTAAATTTCACGATGAAATTTTCTTTGCATTTTCCACAACCCGACATCTGTCGTATCGGGTTATCAAACATTTATCGTTGATTTATCAAAAGAAAGATAAAAAAACTACGGGATGGACATTATTCATATTGTACGTAATTTAACTCCTCAATGTATATATATTGTTTGATTATTGAGATGCGTGCATGTTAATATTTTTTGATACGTTAATAAATATTACTTTGTAAACCATGGCGTTAAATCGATTTTCTTCGTGTTCGTTTCGAATAATTGTGTTTTTCGTTGTCCGCAATGTCGAAAGCAATTGACATTCGGAGGTGAGGAGAATCGATGAAACTGATACAAATGCGAGTACCTTTTAGCGACTTTGGGCAACTTAAAAATTCGAAGCTTTCTAAGTACCTAAATTATATATTTGTTATTTAATTATATATTCGAGGGAAATGTTTTCATCAAATTGCCACAAAAGTGCAATTAATTCCGGGAATTTATTGATCCGGCATAATAAAGATGAAAAAAGAGAGAAGAATAGGGAGAAGTTTTTTTTTTATATTTTTAAATAGAACGATGTCAATTCCTTCCACTTATGATTTCTAATATATAACATGAAAAGTTTTACATAAACAAGTAGAAGGAAAGCCAATTAGAAGGATTGCAGATTGTATTTCCTCTAAGCGTTTTTGCAATTATTTTTATACAGCAATTAATTGACGTTAGAGACAAAAGTGTGGCGGCCATTGTACAAAGTTGCGCCATTCACCGCGTAAAAACGAAACGGAAAGGTGATGCGGCAAAGGAGAGGAGTATGATGCTTTCTAAGGATAAGACGAGAATCAAGAGAGTAAGCCTGTCCCAGGGTCCTCAGGGTCGCGAGAACTCACGACCTTTACTTTCTCCAAGTTCATGCCGCAACAAGTGTGGGACGATATATAAGAGAAGATCGTAAAAAGAAACTATAATCAAAGTGGAAAGGGAGACACCGACCGGAAGTGGTACGACCGGTAAATGTTCCATGATGATCCAACAAGAACCTTTACAAACCGAATAGGTATCAAGGGACGATAAAAGAGGAGACTTTCCATTCAGAGAGACAATCATATAATCTCTTCCTTGTACCTATACGATCGTTTATCGAATGAAATTCTACGCGAATTCGTATGCAAAATTCAAACATCAAAATACACACGTATATAAATCTGGCTTGCGAGAAAAAATTCCTGTTACGACCTCCGACTCCCATTACTAACGTATTTCGATAGTGAACAAGGACTTACGACACACTTGTCAAATAGTTAAGGCGAAAGTGCAAGCGTCTAATGACGAGTATAACGTAGGAGAAATGTGGAGAAATACAATGAGACAATGTGTCGAAATTGGGCGGGAAGACATCTATGGTTCTTGCGGTTATCTTTTCTCGCCCTCCTCATTATACTTATGATCTTAATTGCGAATATTCTTGCAGCATCTCTCTCTCTCTTTCTCTCTCTCTTTCATTTTCTCTGCTCCGCCTGTCTCTTTGTCTCCCTTTTCATCTTCCTTGTCGAGACACAAGATCGCTTTCGTGCCTTTCGTCCGCAGCTGCCACCAAAAGCCTCGAGCGAATTCTTCCGATGGTAAGGTCCATTAACATATAATGCCGCGGTTTAAGCTTGAAGAGAAGCTCCGGTTAACGGATCCATGAGATTCGCTCGAAGAGTGAAAGTACTCCCGCGAGCCGGACAAGCGAGTAGGCAGGCGGGTATATATCGCGCGTGGTCACGGTGCGTGCGATAGAACAGTCGTACAATCGGCGTCAGAATGGGCCATAACAAATCCGACCGATGCCACTTGCACATTGTGCTATTTTCTGAGCCGGACAAAAGTATATATTGTAGCTAGGATGTATGCAAATGCGTCACGTTTTTCTTTCCTTTAAACATTGTCTGTTTTTGTCAAACAGCAAGATTCTGTCTTCTACGACATTAAAAATATACAATCTCTTTGCTTCGTGTCTGCGAGTCTTGGGAAGGAAATAATAAAAGGAGGTGTAAAAGATGAAAGGCAATCATACTTTCGATAATTGATTTTTTTTAGTTCATAATACCTTTTTTTTATGTATATAGAAATTCACAATGACGGGGATAATTGAACCTTGATTGAACCTTGACGCGTCCGGGCTCCGATAGATATCCACGAGAGAAGTGTAGACTCGAAAATTCATTTGTTTGTTCAGAGTGAATTCTTCTTTTTATATATGTGAAAAACTTAGAGTTTGTAAGAATAATAAAAAAAGGAGACTAAAAATAAGAAATGTCGATATTATAGAAAACTTCATACAAGAAAGATGCAAGTGAACGTGTTCTATATTATTAGCGTTCTATATTATTAGCGTCAGATCTTTGAATTTCAAGCTTGAAGGATTCTATAAATAACAGAGGAGTGAGTTTGTGGATTTAAACGATATATTAGTTTATATATATTGACTAACACTATAAAAAATAAAATTTTTCATTTTTATGTTCAATCGCTTCGTACAGTAATATATGTTTTCTATGTAAAAGCGTGCGTGTAAGTTATTTTTTTTCGAGATCTTTGAAATTGGAATTAAAAATCAATATATGCTCAATTTATAAGCTCTCACGTGAAGTGACATAATGTTTAAAAAATACACAAGGAATTTCTCTACTTTTTGCTAACTTTTCTTAGATAACATTTCCCGCTCATATACACACACTTACGAGCAAAATCTTCTCCTAAATGTAATTTTTCATTTTTTACTTGACATCAGGCTAACGTCTTCTCGTTCAATTACGTATTACGTGTACCTCGGTCGGACCATAATCGACGGATGTACCGCAACCGTACAGAAAGACAATGTTTTATGGATTGCTTGGAGTGAATACATGTACAGATTTCACCTAGACAGGGCGCATCGTTGATCACAGACTTAGGACAAATTTCACTTTCGAATCAGGCTTGTCCCGAATGCATCGCTCGAGCGAATGATGCGCTCGTAACTCTCTACTCATCCGTTAAGTACTGCGGAAGGTCGATCGCGGGTCAGAAACCCGTTCTTGCGGTACATTTCTCTGTCTCATCAGATAGGGGCCGCATGAAAGCTTTCGTGTATGTAACAGGTGCACTTCGTCTTTAACGACTGATCGAGATATTTCGCTTCTTCAACCGACACAGCGAATGTTTGTTTCTTTTTCTTTAATTCTGTTTAGTAGTAATTCAGTTGTTGCGCAAGATGTATTCCTGATCAGAGATTTATCGTTCCGGACAGAAATAATCCTTATGCACATTCTTATTCTTACACAAATTTTGAGGACGATAAATATCAAAGCAATTATTAATATTGTCTTCTTACTTGTCGAAATGAAAGAATTCCAAGTGAACTTTAGTGAAATCTTTATTTGAAGTTTACCGAGAAAGATATGCGACTCTCTCGATATTTCTCCTGTCGAAGAAAAATTTCTCCGAAAGTAAAAAAAAAGGAAATTATACTATTCATTACGTTTGTATTGGTTATTAAAATGAAATGCAATATTTCTACGGCCGCATCCCGTCTCTACTTTCTCGTCGTGACACGACGCAACGCGTCTCACCACGATATTGCGGATTAAAGCACGAGAAGAGAGAGATTGTATGAGATAGATGCGCAATGTGGAAAACGGAAACTCGTGATAGTTGGCTGAACCCAATGACCCTAGTGAAGCGCGGGAAACGTCGCCTTCGAAGCAAATTTCTTCCTGGATGAAACTATTATGTACGTGGATCTGTAAAAGTTCTCAGAGATGTAAAAGGACACACAAAGGCCAAAGTGAAATCCACACACACACACACACACACACACGCGCGCGCAAATGAATATTAATAAGCAAAGAAGTTTGTGATATAGAGTGAATTTGAAGAAATTTCGAAAATCGCACAATCCTACACACATACACGAAAAAAATCTTAAAGTTGCGTTGATATCAGGATCATTTGATTCATTCGACTTATTCGCAAGCGAAAAGGAGAATTAATTCAAACTTGTATACGAGACGAACCGGCGACGCCTTGTCGCTATCGATAATTGATAGAGCCGCTGGCATATTAATTGATAACGAGCGCGCGATGATTATGTAATCAACGTGCCTTTTTATAGGTAACGTAACCTACAACGACATTATGAATGCTCGACATTACGAATGCTCGTCATTCGCGGTTTCAAAGTCGTCGCAATGCGACTTTTCACTCTCGAATAAGATCGTATTACTCGTCACGTAAAGAAGCTAACCGAAACAATTCTTCTCCCACAACTGTAATCTTTTGTAATCGTAACGGTATCGGCGTACGCGCGCGTGACGACAGTTCGGCGAGCGGGTTTATTTTCTCTCTAAATTAAAAACTGCGCTTCTATATTGAAAACTCCGCACTCAGTTTTTTCTATTCACAAAACAACAGATTGTTCGCCGTCGTTCCGCCGTCTCGCGAAGAATTTACTTTCTTCCGTGAACTCGCTTCACCGGGAGATCGTTATCGAGCGTTTAAAATGCATGCGTAGGCCAATAAGACCGACGTAATTCGCAAAGGAAGTGTAATGACCCCAGGCTGTAGGAAAGTCGCGGGAATAGAGGAAGCCTGTTAGGCGTGTAAAGTATTTGAAAACTTGTCCCGGCCGAGATCAGGTCCTGGATTTAATTGACTCGCAAGTGTCGCAACGGGAGAAACTGCACGACGACGAAAATTGTACGATCTCTACGACGAGTATTTCCTACAAATTGGCCGCTGATTTTCAATTCATACTACATCGCGTAACTATGCTGAACGAACTGTCGACGGTGTCGCAACGAATACATTGTCCCACATTGGGGACACATCTTTCCACGGCAGTAAAACGACTTCGTTTTCGGAATAAGCGATGTTTGAAAAATTCTAAGGCGCGACCGCGTGCAAATAGAAAATTGGAACCGGTAAAAAAAGTTTTGTTTACACTGGAGCCGTTCGACATATCGGCTGATACTCGCGTACGCGTGCTTTTGCTTTCTAAATGTCTCGGCCCTCGGGATATCCGGAGCTCTCGAAACGTCTCTCGATATTCGGGTTAGTTATACGGCGAGTGCGTCGATCCGTTTCCTATGTGGTTGCGCAATGTCATTATTTTTTTTATCGACTCCATCTTTCTCTCTCTCTCTCTCTCTCTCGCTCGTCGCGTTTCGCTAGATTCTAAAGGATTAAAGTGACAGCACGGATGAAAGCACCGCCGACACTTCATACGCATGTGTTATCTCATTCGAATTCTTTTTTACTCTATAATTTTAAATCCATTTCAACGATCGAAATTTACGATCTTAAAAAACAAAACAATGGAATCTCGCGTTCTCCGCGGGTACATCGAAAGATGTAACAGGTCGCAGGAGGCCAAGTGTCATTACATGGGCGCGCATAAATTTCCAAATTCGTTCTCCGCCATTTTTCCCCGTCGACGACGTCGTGGAGAATCCGTTCGACGTGCGTGACTCACTGTGTATACGCGCCGGTATCTATTTGTACAGGCCATGTAAATTGTACAACGTGCGACCGGACAATGATTAGTGAGTGGGCGTGCGCCTAAAAACAGATATCCTAAGCGCAAGACGAAACGACACGTCCGGATTGCTTTCGTGCCTCGGCGTGAAAATCTGGAGCAGTCGGCCCGAAGCTAACCGTGAGTGATTTATGAACCGGAATAGCGAAAACGCGTATCCCTCTCGAGTTTCATGAGCGCGAGACGAGCGTCTCGAGAGAGAGAGAAAGAGAGACCGGCGGGCGACTCTCTAGCGACTCGAACGAGGGAATTCACTTTCATCGGTGAGCCAGCGTCGTCTGTCCCAGGTGCGACGTGTTAAACGGATAAAACCTCACTTAACGCGGTTTAGCGGCTATCGCTAACCGCTTCTTAAACGCGCAACCGTGGACTACTTGGACTTTTCGAACGTCGCCTTTTCAGAGCTGCCCCGATATCACTTGAATACGCCGCTTTCTTGCGAACGCGCGAGCAAGGCGCGGACGCTTTCGCTATCATCGCCGGACAATTTCGCGAACGACGATTGGATTTAATTTGCCGCCGTCATCGTTATTGTCCTCCTCGCGATAAAAAGCGGAAAACGCGCTTACGCGTGCAGGAACTGTTTCACGGCGCGCTTTCTCCCGTCCGCCTTCGAGCACCGGTTAAGCGCTCGAAAGGAAAACCGCGGTATGGTCGTTAAGCTCCGCGCGCGCGAAAGGAAGCAATAAAAATTTATCGGAGGCTTCTAAAGATCGCTCGTAATTCTTGCCATATTACGAAGGTGCATTGCCGCATCCATTTTTAAATTGCAAATAGCGGTCGCGCGCTCTTCCCCGAGTCGGCGATTGATAGTCCGTGCGATATTCATCATCGCTGTGTTAACGCGTCTACCGTGGGGCAGCTTCGAGGATGCGGAAGGCGTCGATAATGTCTCGCGATTCCGCTCGGGGCGCATCGTAATGCGAAACGAAACTGACATTTCGGGCTCTCTTCGACGAGCGACGTAATCGCGCGTTTAGAAACCTCCGTAAGCGACGCTAATTGCAATCTCGCTAAAAGCCAAGAACGTAACGGAGATTAGGCGAAATATCTTAGCGAAAGTTAAGCTTGGTATACTTAAAGCCCGGACGGAGCAAAACGGTTCCACAGTCATAGCCGAACACGTCCGGCATGTACCGGTAGCTGTCCCCAGGACGTCCCGGAGCACATCCAGGATGGTCCTCGATGATGTCTTCTGCTATCTGGGAGACGGTCAGTTCTGAAAACATTTGAAAGAAGAGCAAGCGGTAGTAGTCAGGATTTACTCGAAGGAACCTCGATTCGTGAGAGGTTCTACGGTCGCTCATTGATGTACAAGTCGATCTCATCGTCCTCGTGTGCTAATACCTTCCGGATACAAGGCGCGATCTTCGAAATAAAAAAAAAGACATCGTGCAGGCGAATAAAATCCCCCTGTCTCGCCGGTTTCTTCCTTTCTCCGCGGTATTCTCGTTCGATATAACCTGGAGCGCGCGCGCCAGGCATAACCTTGTCACATAACCTTGCCGGGCTTGAACTTCACCGTTGAAACACATGCTCGCGAATAACCGAACACCGTCGAAGTGTTCGCTCGACCGGATCGTGCTCTTGATCACTTTCTCCGAACGATGGCTCCTCACCTCTACGACAGTGACGACAGTGGGTCCCCTCGACCAGGCCGGAAGTGGGGGAGGAACCGGGAGTGCCGGGGAGAGTTTTTTAATCCGCCGGCGGGTCTCTCTCGGCGGCGTTCGTTACCATCTTCCTACCATCGGAATTCCCCCGGATTCCACCGGTGGCCTCGGTTGGCGAGACCACCTCCATCAGGCCGCCACCACCTTGGACATGCCGCTTCTCGCTGCTCCTGCGGTGCGATGCCTTCGGGGAGGACACGCGCCTATATAACTACGGCGTTCCAATGATTGGGCGAAGTAAGCTACGTTTTCCTGCGCCCAGGGAACAAGAGTACGCGGCCCAACGGGCGGCATTGCGACAGATATGAGGATTCGCCCGGGATGCGCGGTCAGTTATCACTTTTTTCATTCCTTCTATCGCCCGTGATAGAATTCGCCTTCGCGAATTCGCGATTAACGTTAACGATAGCTTGCCGTCGTCGTCGTTCAGTCGATATTTCTTCCATTCGGTGCGCATAGTTTGCGATCCAAATTCGTAACGCGCCCTCGAAGGAGACTCGTGCGAGTCGTTTGGTTTCGCGAACGAAGCGAACGTCATTCTCGAAAATTCTAGAGACACGAGAAACGCGGATCCTCCTTTCGTGTATGATTTACATTCTGACTGAAACTGCGAATTATTTTACGGTCGCAGCGTAGAGAAATTTATCGCGCGTACTTATAATGATACGTTCCGATACAGCGTTCTTTGTTTATGCGTCATCGTTTTGTAAATACACGTATTCACGCGCGGGCATTAAGATCTACGGATCTACGGATTCATCGACCTCTAATTTCGTGAAATTACGGCTTGAATACCCGTACATGGTATTGCCTACGGAGCCTGGCTAACTTTCTCTCTGTTCTGTCTCCTCCCTCTCGTTAAGACTCGGGTACGAGGGTATTAATTTTTACGTGCACTCATACATATTTTTCAATTCCACTCCGCACGGCTTTGCGAACGTCTGGATTTACGCATTCGTGGAAATCTCGTGTGCTTGGATTGGTCTTATTTACCCCAAATGGGTCGAATTTTTCGCCGCCTGGGCATAATGCATCTTACGAGTGACATTTGCGAAAATTTATCATAACCCACGCTACAAACATTGTGCTAACTGATAAGATTGTTCAAGTCCTGGTCCAGGTTTCGTTCCAATATTATTCCGACTTCAGTATGACGGCATTGTTTAACACTTATGAAATAAAACAAGAAGGTGAAACGAGAGAGATCTTTCAGCGGCCCGTTTGTCAACGTGTTTTTATTATTGCCGTGTCATTATATTGTCCGCAGGCTGCACTAGCGGTGCTATTGCAAGCCGCTCTTGTGGCGAGCAAGGCTGTGGATCAAACGCAGCTGCAGCAGCAATTACAACAGCAGACTCCGTACGTATGATGGCTCACTTTGACAATTGATCGTTATCTTGCAGCATTATTCGCGACATATTCGATAACAGGATCAAATTCTCAGCGAACAGAACTGAATGAGAAATTCCGACCGTTGCAGATCCGACAAAACAGCGCAAAAGCGATGGGGAGGTGATTACGGCGGCGGTTATGGTACTTCCGGCGGTGGTGACATCGGAGGTCATCTCGGCGGCGGTGATTTCGGCGGTGGTCACTTCGGCGGTGGTGATATCGGCGGTCATCATGGCGGAGGTGATTTCGGCGGTGGTGATATCGGCGGTCATCATGGCGGAGGTGATTTCGGCGGTGGTGATATCGGCGGTCATGATGGCGGAGGTGATTTCGGCGGTGGTGATATCGGCGGTCATGATGGCGGAGGTGATATCGGCGGACATTTGGGCGGCGGTGACATCGGCGGACATTTGGGCGGCGGTGACATCGGCGGCGGCGGCGGAATCGACGCGCATCACGGAGGCCATCATGACGAAGGTTACTGGAAAAAGAAGCTGATCTGGAAGCCAGGCTGGAAAAAGATCTGGAAACCGGCGCAGAAGCAGATCTGGAAGCCTGCGTGGAAGAAAATTTGGAAGCCTATCTGGGTGCCGACTCAAAAGGCGGTGTGGAAGGAAATTCAGGTTCCTGCTTGGAAGAAGATCTGGAAGCCCGTGTGGAAACAGATTCAGGTGCCGGTGTGGAAAGAGATACAGGTACCGGCCTGGAAGAAGATCTGGAAGCCGGTTTGGGTACCGATCAAGGTACCCGCCTGGAAAGAGATCCAAGTGCCCGCGTGGAAGAAAATTTGGAAGCCAGTCTGGAAGGAGATACAAGTGCCGGCATGGAAGGAGATTCAAGTACCCGCTTGGAAGAAGCTCTGGGTGCCTGAATGGATAAAGGTTGGTATACCGGGCGAGCACTATCACGGCACGGATCATCACGGTTGGCAGTACACCAGCCATGATCTCTGGAAGAAAAAGTTAATTTGGAAGCCTGTATGGAAAAAATATTGGAAGCCGGCCAAGAAGCAGATCTGGGTGTCAGATAAGAAACTCGAATGGAAGGAGGCCTGGAAGCAAATCTGGAAACCGGCGAAGAAGCAAGTCTGGATAGACGACAAGAAACTGATCTGGAAGGAAGAGTGGAAGCAGATCTGGAAGCCGTCCAAGAAGCTTATCTGGGTATCGGACAAGAAGCTCGAATGGAAGGAGGCCTGGAAGCAAATTTGGAAGACCGATAAGAAACTAGAATGGATTCCCGACAAGAAACTCACCTGGAAGGAAGCATGGAAGCAGATCTGGGTGCCCGCTTGGAAGCAGATCTGGGTGCCGGCCTGGAAGAAGATCTGGAAACCGGTCTGGATATCCGAATGGTTCCCCAACGAGGACCATCATCATCATCACTGGGACCGTAAAGATTCGCAAGTTCAGAACACGCAGGTAGTGCCTTACAGCCCGGAAGTCGCCTTCCAGAAGAGGCATTCGGAGCAATCAGAGCAGCAACAGCAGCAGCAGCAACAACAGCAGCAGCAACAGCCGCAAAAGCAGCAGCAGACGCAACAACGTCAGGCGGAGGACAACAATGTTAGGTGGGACAGGTCCTTCAAGGCAAATCTGCCGACAGTCACGCAGGATCTGGTACCGCCGCCAGTTAATCAAAACGGAGGTCAAGCCAGCTTCACCTTCCCTACCCGCTGAAAGATCTAAAGCTAGATCTTCGTGCACCATAATCGCACTGTAACCCTTCGAAATGCTTGTACAAACGTCTCCGTGCGAGATTACTGTAACATAAGTCGCTGTATATATTACATTTTAAGATTAAGATAGGTTCGCGTGTGAAACTAAGTTACCCGAAGTATACTCGACTGATGCGCTCCCTATTCTTCGGGGTGCCACCTGTACGACCTTTACGACATGGCATAATCTGTATTTGCTCCCTGCTGTTTGTTTCATTTCCTTTCTTTTTTTATATACGCGTTATTGTTGTTTCCCTTGATTGTTAACTAATGCCGTTACGAATAAAGTTCACGAATATTTTGTTAATTCTTTCATCGTAGTACTTCATTTCCTACGGAGGTCACCACCGTCCAAATGCCCGCCGATATCACTCCCTTCGAGATAATTGTCAATATCACCGTCATCCAAATAATCCGATGTTATCATCGTCAAATTTTACTTTGCACGAACTCGCAATTATTCTTTTTTGTCAAAGTCAAATTTTACAACAAAAGGTTAACTTGATTATTTAATCTGATGGAACGTTATATTCTTTTATTTCACAATTTTCTTAGATATTATAACATAAAAATTCAATTAACTTACATGAAGCAACATTAACGCGACTGAAAATCATGCAATTGTGTATCAAAAGTCTCAACTCTATTATATAACTCAACTATGAATGCATAAAATTAGTTATTTACGTTAGTTTAAACATTGGTGTTATACAGCATATCTTAACATTAAAATATTTTTCACGTTACATTCATGTTACATCTGTAGTGTGTTAATGTAGCACAGTAAAATATATAGCGCTTCATGTGTTCTACATGTCAAACGTCATACGTAAAAGATGTAGTTTTTATGTCAAACGTCATACGTAAAAGATGTAGTTTTTATGGCTTCGCACTGCCTTTTTCTCCTTATTTTCTTAACATTTATTATATTAATTATTTTTATTTTATTAATTATTTTCCAACAGCGAGAACTCTTCTCACGAGCAGTCGTTTCGACTGAAAAGGGAACGACCGAATGCTCACCTAATTTTGAAGCAAAGCCCCATCGCTCTTATTAGACGTAGATGATGCAATGCGAATACGCACACGTATCTCTGCGAAATTGGTGAAAGTGGAGTCTGTTATGGAAGGCAAGCGACCAGCATGTAGAAGACCTCGACCATGGAGAAAGTATCCATGCACCCACACAGCGGCATAAATTAATGCGTACCACTGTGCTGTCCGTCTCGGTAGGCCGCACCATATTGCGCGATGCAGACTCCACTCGATTGATGACGGTGACGACGAGATTTCACTGGCGCCAACTACGGAAGAGTGGATTTTTCTCCGGTCGCGATTGGCTATAGGAAAAAAAAAAACGTGGTCGGAGAAATCATGATACGACAATTTTTCTGATACAACACGGCCGGACAGGAATCATGTTCACTTTTGTTTCACGTTTCCTTTCGTTCGACAAGTCCACACACATGAATCAGCTGGAAACGAGACAACATATTTTTCCTCGTGTTCTTTTCTTTTTTCGTCATACGCATATATAGTACGTGTGTGCGGCAAAACGTCGCCAAATATTTTTCGCTCGGCGATGTTCAAGTTCCCTTGACTAAATATATATTCTCTTGTAAGACGTTCTCCAGTTGAATTACAATGCCAAGAAAGAAATCGACGGATCGGGTCTCAGTGGCTAGAATCCGAACAAAAGCCAAGTTGCTCGGATACAAAACAATATTTTTGTCCGAGGTCATGAGTGTCACGCTGATCGGTATCCGCATAATAGGGTAAAATACATAGACTCGTGTCTGTTACCGCGCCAATACATAGCCAACCATATATATTACACGAGTTTGTGGGACGAAACGTATTAGAGTGTCGTTATTCAAAGATGATATACCTGGTAATCTGTCTCTTTTCCATCATCATTTGCCTTTACTACATCTTCGACTGTCTCAAGCCGAAAAATTATCCGCCTGGTACGTGCAGTGATAAGCAAAATATTAATCCGTTCCTCGCGGAGAAAAACTTCGAATTGATACGGAAAGTATCGTCGAAATTAAATTTGCGAATTATAAAATACTCTGTATAAGACGAGTGTATAAAAAACTGCATTACCAATGTAAAACATAATTGCGTAGGTCCGATATGGTTGCCATTGTTGGGATGTTTTCCAATATATCGGTGGTTGTATACTAAGCATCGATACAATTACTTGGTTTTCCAAAAGTTGTCACGCACATACGGGCCGATATTGGGACTGAAGCTTGGGAAGCAGAAGATAGTGGTAATTTCAACACACGATCTAGTAAAGCAAGCTCTTCTTAAAGATGAATTTAACGGTCGACCGGACGGCTTTTTCTTCCGAGTACGGTCGTTCGGGAAGAGAAAGGGTGAGTCCTAATCGGCTTAAGTGATAAGTCATAAATCGTGATAAAATGTACTCTGAGGTTGTGATATCGATTACTACATCGAGGAATATTTGATATCGGGTGCTGCTCAACACAGGTGTCGTGTTCACCGACGGGGCCGCGTGGTCGCAATGTCGACGATTTACGATGCGACATCTTCGCACGTTCGGCGTAGGTCAGTTAATCATGAAGCAACAATTGACTCTCGAAGCTGAAAATCTCGTTAATTACCTGCGACAAATGAGCCAACGCGGCGCAGTGCAAATGAATCATGTATTTGATGTAGCAGTACTAAATTCTCTCTGGTCCATGTTTGCTGGACATAGATTCGAGTATGACGATGAAAAATTGCAACAAGTGCTCACAACTGTTCACGAAGCTTTCAGGTAAGTAATAATTGGTATAATTAGTGTTGCGTATATGTGTATATACTTATTTACTACAATATTATCTATTTGGTACGTGTTGAATTGTTCTCAGAAAAAACCGGCCTCACTATTTAGAAATGTATATTATAATACTTATACATACAGAGGTACATATTAACACGTTAGTTACCAGCGTTACATATGTGCGACGCACCAATTTTTCGCTTCAAACTCATCATTATTCAAAAATTTCTACTTTACCTAGTACGTTCGTTATATATGTACAATCGACGTCACATATATGAGTCATCTATAATGTTTTTTTTTTATATTTTTGTAAATAAATCAAGCTCGTTTTACACAATTACATGAAAATGAATACGATATAGTCTGTGGGAAAGTAAACTATCGTAGCAAATGTGTCAATTCAACTATATGTGCAACATATATGCAAATGAAACGTCTCGTAATAATTACTGTCTATTGTTATTTTGTAATTGCGATAACGGAATTATGATATATTTCATGTAACATACAGATTATTCAACACCATGGGTGGAATAGTTTCTCAAATGCCTTTCTTACGTTTCGTGATGCCAGAATTATCGGGATACAACGATCTGATGAGGATCCTCAAAAAATTATGGAGGTTTCTGGATGAGGAAATCGAGGTACACGAGAGAGAGCTATCTAATAATCAGCCTGGCAATCTGATCGATGCATTCCTTTTGAGAACTGATGCAGACGGGAATGAAAACTTTAATTTTGATCGTGAGTATTTGGCGTAATAATTGACGTTGAAATCGGTCTACCCTAAAAAAATCAAGAGTATTACTATCCGATAGTTGTTGTACATACTTGCGATACATAACGGAACGTAATAAATGTCTACTCAAAATCGAGCACGCTTAGAAATTCTCGTTCAAATAGACCGATTTGAAATTCAAACGCTAAAGGAGAGATATGAAAGGAATATATTCGCATAAAAAATGTTGAAAGTGGAGTCGGCGTCATATGTTCTGTACCATTCATTAAACGAAAAATTACATGATTTCCAGCCTTATGTACAACGCATAAGATTGAAAATCGCATGAGTAAGTAACTCTAATTATAACGATATAATAGTTATAATGTAATTATAACTATAAAAAAATTAAATATAAGTCTAAAAATCGCGTAATTTCCGATCAAGAGAAATTTCCGATCTAGGGAATGGTACAGTATACACGACACCGGCTGTACCAAGTACAATACCAATGCGCTATTGTAGATTAAGTAAGTTTTGTACCGAGTGACGAAAAGCAGACATATATCGAAGTGCATAGCATGCTAATAAAACCCGATATGAAATACTGGCACGTACGCATTGCAGGTGAAAGTTTATTGGTGTTGTGTCTTGATCTTTTCATGGCTGGATCAAAAACTACCACTGATACTCTAGCGACCACGTTTCTTTTTCTGTCGCTGTCCCCAACTTGGTTGAAGTTGCTTCAATCGGAATTGGACAGTGTCGTTGGTAGATCGAGAGCTCCCACCGAGGAAGACTTGCCGCGTTTACCAATGGCGGAAGCGTTCTTAGCCGAAGTATATAACAAATTTAAATTACAAATAATAAGAGATTTAATGCTCCGATTAGTATCTAATTGGACACAATCTGCGATCATTTTTCTATTTTCTATAAAAATTTATAAGCTATTATATTCGCGCACGCGGTTTCTCGTTTAATATTACAATTTTATTAATCTTTAAATGACGGAAGCGTTCTTAGCCAAAGTATATAACGAATTTAAATTACAAATAATGAGAGATTTAATGCTCCGATTAGTATCTAATTGGACACAATCTGTGATCATTTTTCTATCTTTCATAAAAATGTATAAGCTTGTATATTCGCGCACGCGGTTTCTCGTTTAATATTACAATTTTATTGATCTTTAAATCAGCGTTACCTTAAATTTATAAAAGCAAAAGAGAACAATGAAGATTTAGAGATCCATTTTTTAAAGAAAATTTATCATTTCTCCATGTTTAGAATATTTAGAATATTTTACGATAACCTAAATAATTATGTACTTTTAATTATATATATATTAGTAATTTTTTAATTATGTGTAATATATAAATGCAGATACATAGATATTTCATTTTGGCTCCACTCGGTATACCTCACAGGGCCATGAAAGATGTTATTCTAAACGGATATAATATACCTAAGGTGATGTTGCATTTCTTAATCATAAACCATTCTATACATTTACCATTATATACGTAAACTAACAAGTAGTTGTTTTGTCTTACAGGATACGATAGTTCTGTTTGACTTTCATAGCGTTCACTACGACGAGATGCATTGGGATAAACCGAATGAATTTCTTCCACAACGATTTCTAGACGAAGAAGGAAAATTTCGTCAGAATAACGCTAGCATACCTTTTGGCTTAGGTAAATCTAACGCAATGTAAAATTACATCGTCGTAATATTGCTATCGTTGCACATGTATTATGAAATTTTACCGATTTGAAAAACAAAAATAATTGATCCGATTACATGCATATCATATGTAATAACGCATGTATTAAGATTCTTGTTACGATGAATTTTTCAATTATCTTTTTATTATTAATGGGAAAGGAGTACATACATAACAAAAATATAAACATACTAGCAAATAAGTCATAAATTAAAAAGAAATAATTATACGTATCGTATATATATGTATAATTTTTTATCCACTTTTCTATATATATATTTATATAAAAAGACATGTCAGAGGTTTAATTGTTGCCGTTTTTTTCGCGATGCTAATTGGCCGTTTCTAAATCTTAATCTCGATGCGAGATTGCTTACTTCCGCCCGTGTTGCTCTAGTCAATTAAAATGGTTTTAACATTTATAAATTTATCGCTTGAAGTTTAATGTATGATTTTCAATTGCTTGTACATTTATATTTTTATCGTATTGGTTGTTTATATATATACATCACCAGAGTTAATATCATGTTAATGGCACTTTTTCCAAGTCGAAATAGTATACTAATATCAACATCATAAAACTACACTAATAGCAGATACAATATTAATGATTCTTTGGTATTTACTTCAGGTAAAAGACGCTGTCTGGGTGAGACGTTAGCGCGTTCTTCCGTGTTCCTGTTTTTCACGTATGTTATACACTATTTTGACTTGAAAATCTCAAACGAATACGGAAAACCAGATACGAAAGCTTACGATGGCTTCACCATATCGCCGAAACCATATTACGTCAAACTCTCAATGAGATCTGATTTGAAAGATTGAAGCAGATGTTGCAGCACGAGAATGCATCATAGCGAAATACTTGAATTTCTACGAAAAATATCTCATATGTTGAATTCGTAAAGTTGCGCATAAAGTATTATCGCTCCTTGTCATATCATATCGTACATGGTGTGCAAGAAGATAAATATTTTTGAATATTTATAGAACAACGATTATTTTATTAATAGCTTAAATACAGAATTCTCCCATAACAACAAACGTATATGCAGATATATATTCTCATCTATATTTACATAATCCATGTAAAGATTTGAAAAATTGAACAAAAGAAATTTCATTCATTTTATAGGTCAGAGAAAAAAAGAAAATAAATAGGCCCATCTATGGCACATTTATAAATCAAACTTGAATATTTTAATTTCAAGTATTTCAATCCATAATATAATATTATCTTGGCAGAAGTAAAGCTTTATAAAGTTTTCGAAAGATCGTCAGGCTAGAATATAGAATTATTTGCAGCTTGATGGATTTTTCACCCGGAAGTAGTCGGTACTTTTGCCTCATACCAACATGAATAATAACAGGACAACATACTTTGGCTTGTCCTTCAAATCTGGAAATCTTCTTATCACGTTGCCAATCTTTCTGTCATTCATTTTGTCTCGGTACTCGATCATATGCAAAAAGGAGAAAGAATTCAAGTGTTGATGTTGTAATGCTGATGCCAGCGATGAAAAAATCGATCAACGTAATAAGAAGATTGTCGTCTAAAAGACACGGTGAATCGTAAAAGAGACCCAGAAGTATTGACGACAACACTTTCTCTCGCGTCGATGCTTTCATTAGCGCATCGGATCACAAGAAAGAGGAAGCGTTAACTTCTCCACGGATGCTCGCCACACTCGGGAAGCCACGAGCTTCATCGATCTATGAGATGCATCCGGAAGGTAACACGCGATGAGTTTGAAATCCTTACGTAATAAACGGTAAGTAAGTAAAGGCATCGTAATTGTACTTTCTAGATACATTTATATAATAAATCGCAACTGCTCATGTACAATAAATCGCAACTGCTCATATGCATACTTGCAAATACAGAAATTTTCGTCTCTGTCGTCTTCTACATTATTATTTAGCGAAGAAATAAGTCGATCAAATTCATTTCGGTTCTCTCGACGTATTATTGTTTGTGATCATCGATTATGGTCTGATACACAGAATCAATTATAAATATTGTCGAATAGTAAACACGAAAATGTTTTGTTATATAATTCTCTTTATTTTTATTTATAAAAATGTTTCTAATGCAAAATTACTCACTTTTCTTTTCTCCCTCCAACTATTGCAAATGAAATGGAGATGAGGAAATTAATATTGAGTTTTTGCAATACCGTCTTTCACGATAAACACTAAAATGTTTTTTACGATTCATGATCGATCGAAAAATCAATTTTTTCTAAAAAAAAGTCGCTCATTATTTCTTTGAATGACAGTTTTTAACTGAACGACTCCAACGCGCACAACGTTGAATGCAATAACTTACTGATACTTAGAGAATCGATAACAATCATTGGATAATAGTGAATCCGTCGGACATGAAGTGACTCTATTCTAGTACCGCTCGATACCAAGCGAGCGCAGCACTGTTTTTTCGGATCGCAGTGGACAGATTTGGACTGTGATCCTTTTTCGGTGATATTTCGATGATAGATTCTTCAATGTTTCTATTTTTCAGGTGTACATTATTTTGATTTGGAAAACTCGAGCGAACACGGAAAACCAAAACTAGAAGCCTACGATGGCTTCACCATATCGCCGAAATTATATTACGTCTAAATCTTGTAATGATTTTTTTTTTAATTTTAATTTAGAAGATAGAATCAGATGATGCGCGAGCGCACTATAATGATATATTTGGACTTCCACGAAAAGAGTCGAATACGTTGAACTTGCAAAGTGACATCTAACTAACTGTGTCGCATGATATCGCACAGGAAAATAAATATTTTCAAACATTTATACAGCAAAGTATATTTTATTAATATTTTAATTGAAGAATTTTTTCTCTCACAATAAACCGTAAATGTAAAATAAATCTATTATTCCATAATCCCTTTGTGAAATATTAAAAAAACTTATTTAAAAATATTTCGTATTCATTTCATGATCAGAAAAATACAGAGAAGAGAAATGTATACGCATCGACTCTATGTGTATATTTGTAAAAATTAAATTTTTCAAATTTAATTTTTGATTATCAAGTTCATAATATAATATTATCGTGGAACAAGTAAAACTTTGTAAGGTTTTGGCGAAATTGTTAGGCCGGAATTCAATACCAGCTTGACGGATTCTTCACATGATATCGGAAGTAGTCGGTATTTTTGCATCACACCGACGAACAGTAAGAAGATGGCCGATTTTGCCAACGCTTCCCCAGGACATCTTCTTTTTCCTGGAAGATAATTTCGCATGAATTGAGAAATGTGTGATGATAACCGAGTTAGAAATTGGACGCGCACGATTTTAATCGCAATTGCCTATTGTAACTATTCATTGAGCAGAAGATTCCACACAAGCAATAATGAAGGAAGCGTCCGTTTTTCTCTGTTGTGAAACACATTTCGATGGTATTTTATAATGCCATGGAATCCACCCGGATGGAAAACAACATAGATAATTAATATGGGAATGATTCCAATGGAAACCCGTTAACAGAATTTCATGGTATTTTATCGCAATCTTCTGTAACTATATTTTCTACATGTCATAAATTACCAACCTTTCCCGAATGTTATAAGGTTAGCATCCGATTGATAATCACCATCCTTCATAAACCTTTCCGGTTTGAATGAGGTAGGATCGGGATACAATTCCGGGTTCATGTTGTTAGCAAAAATGTTCATAAGAACGATGGAATTCTTCGGCATCGTGTAACCTCCGAGAGTCGTGTCGGCGAGAACACGTCGTGGTCCAATTATAGGCGTAACGACCCACATACGTTGGCACTCAGTCAGCAGAGCTTCCGTGAAGGGCATTCTGCGAGATTAATTGCAAATTCGACACAACTTATGTACACATCCTCTCACAAACAACGTTGATTGAAATTGATCCTTCGTATGAATAATAATAAGACTTAGTTATCGTACTTGGGCCTATCCTCCAAATTTGGAAATCTCTCTGTGCCTATCACTTTGTCGATCTCTTTGTGCAGTATATCTTGCACGTCTTGGTGCTTGGTCATATGCAAAAAAAGGAAATCCAGCGTTGACGTTGTGTTGGTAGTGCCAGCGATGAAGAAGTCGACCAGTGTAATGAAAAGATTGTCGTCTGAAAGACACGGGATAGATCGTAAAAGGGTGATCGAAACGCAGGAGCTTGTGACAAGAACAGTTTCTTTCGCGTTAATGCTTTTATTAGCACACCAGATCACGAGAAGGAGGAAACGTCTTCCTCACGGATACTCTTAACGCTCACGAAGAGTCGCGAGCATCGTCAATCTATGGAATGCAAAGTATCGCGCAACGTGTTCAAAATCCGTACATAATAAATGGTGAATGGAGGAAGTCATCGTATTGCACTTTCTGAGCATGTTGCGTGACAAATCGTAACGTCTTCTATGACATACCTGTGAAGATAGAAACATCCGTCTTTGTGGTTTCGTGCGCCTTCATCTCGCGAAGAAATAAGTCAATAAAATCCTTCTCTGCTCCCTCAACGTAATGCTGCTTGTGTTCATTAATGGTGGTCTGATACATGGAATCAATATAAGCGTTACCAAATAAAAAACAGAAATATTAAACTTGAAGATTATTCATGTTTCTCATTTCTTGTGTCTTGGACGAGTTCGTGCATGTAACGTCGAGTTCTTCATTTTCTCACAGAATTCTCATTATTTCTATTAATTTATAATAATGTTCTTCACGTAAAGTGATTCATCTTTTCTTCCCTTTAACCAGATGAATTGAAGTGGGAATTGATATTGTTTCGTGACCAAAGAAGCGAAATTAAAAACGGAAGAGAAGTAAGATCGCTAAATATATGTATTTAGCCAATCAAATTCACTCAGCAGACTAATCAGCTTTATTGTCACTTAAAAGATCACGTCATACATTCGTCTTACGTCATGTGCGTATTAAAATAAAGTTTAAAGTACCGTAACTCACCATTAACAAATGCTTCAGCTCGTTGTTTAAAGAGATAAGGATATTGTAGCCGCTGGCGTTAGGCATAATGTAACGGATCCACGGAAAAGAGGCAAGGATTCCGCCGGACATGTCAAAGGCTTTCGCGCGGCATTCTAATATTTCAATGAAATGCTGCAGCCTGCAAACATCAGAAAACCAGTGAGACAATCATAGCCAGTAGGTTTATCCGTCTTTTCTGTTTATTGGTCGATTCGTAAAATTGAAATCAAATGAGAACCTGATTCGAAAGGATCTGCCTGCATCTTTTTTCTTTAGCACCTGAGACAATTTCTCGGCGAGATAAGGCGAAACGGTTCGTAAGAATAAAAAAAACATGCCTCCGTCTTCATGTCCGTTCCACATAACAGAAGTATCCAAAATATATTATAAGGATATCGCGATATCTTTAGGATATTCCTATGTTGTATTTTTGACATTTCTACTATTTGAAATATATTTTCCAATTTCTTTTTATTTGCATAAAGTTACGTAACAGCCACCTTTGATCCGTATAAATGCATCTCATTTACGGATCAACAATTGATAAGTTTGAATTTGTTATATAAACTGAAGAAGTTATAAAAACAACATAAAAAGAGCAACCAGCAATCGAAAGATTATTGTGAAAATTGTAAATGATCGTTTCGATATTGATTTTATAACGATATATTACGTACTTCGTATTGTTGCAAATTTGTTGCCCCGCGAGCAAGTTCCAGAGGACATTTATCACAGCCGGTGCGATCACAAATTTTATCGTATGCACGTTGCTTTCCTTCAGTTTTTCCAAGATAACGGTCAGCTCATCCGCGAGTAATTCTCCCATTTCTTGTCTGGCGAAACCCACTTTCCTCAGATTTCGCATCGTCCAATTACGTAATTCCTTCCACTCCGCGCCGTCGTTCATTGTGATTCCTGACCTCAGTGATTTCAATTAGTTCGATAATTGCAATAATCGTCTAGATACATACTGAATTATACGAATATCCACATATGAGCAACGCGTTCACAAAATTCAAAATCTTCCTTCCAAGTGTCACATCATTGGCTGAGTTGCTCTGTATCGACACTCTTTTGTTCCTCAGCGTATTAAATAAAAACGTGACTTATAACAATTACGGTAGTATCGGGAAGTATTGAATTATATCGGTAAATCGAAAATAATAGTTTCGATATTAATAATGAAGGTGGAATGAAGGGAGTTTCACGGCTTTTAAAAGAGAAAAAGGATCATTGTACCTTTCTTCAGACCCAGGTTTCGCAACTTTATAAATTCGTTCCAAGGACGTCCATCGTAATTTTCATTGCTAAGTACTTCGTGAATAAGCATGTGGTCCGAAACAACTATGATATTATTACCGCCCAATCGTAAAGAAATGATACCGCTGCTGTAACGTTTGCAGATTTCTAGGAAAGCGTATTGTTGCCCACCGAGTTTTCGGCTCAACTTTTTCAAATAATATTGATTGCCGATCAATGGCCAAGGATAGGGACCTAAAAGTCAGAATTTTTCTTGCCGATAAGAAGACTATATTTTGAAAATACGTTGACTATTATCATAAGTATTGCAACCCAGCAAGCATGGCGGCGCATCAACTTGTCGTGAATTTTTCGTCATTAGTAATGCCATTAACGATTAATATAACATCAATGGAACGTAAGCAGGACGTCACATATCGATGAAGCCATTTCGTCTTAAAGACGTTAGTTTCTCACGTAACATGTACGTTACAAATGTCCTTACAGAAATCTATCCGTATAGCATACAAACGTTGAATCGATATCTCAGAAACATTGTATTTCATTACTACAAAATGTTGTATCTATTGCTGAGAAATGTGAAGTCAACGTTGAAGAAACATTGCAAAAACATCTGATGAATCACAATGTCTCGTAGACGTTGAATCGCAATGTCTCGTAGACATTTAACATTCAAAAAAAAATTGTTCTGAAAAGGAAAGACAGTCTTGATCGCTTGAATTTTGCCGCGCGGAAGTTGTTTTATATTTCGTACATGTTTTCTTGCATTCTAGCATGGATTCAATCTCGAGCGGCGGCCCAGCTGATCACCCGTCGTTACCGTTACTTGACTTTAACGATGAGGCAGCGAGCAATTAATCCAACGGTTATGACAATAACCGCATGCGGAGCCTGCGGAAGATTCTTGATCCAAACGGAATCATTCTTCGCTTATCAAAATTGATTATTATTTATTATTTTTGCAAAAATGCATGATTTTTTAAATATACTTATAACATTCGACATGTAAATGGGACATTATGTATAGGATATGACGTATAAAAGAACTTAGATATCGATTTCAAACGCATATCGTTAGAAATTATCCTAGTAAGCAAAAAATCATTAACACAACGCTATTACAGTGACATTTTATAACGTAGTAACGTTTTCTAATATATAGGTCTTAATGTTGTATACAACGTCATTGTTAATAATATTCAACCGAAACATTAAAAATAATATTTCTACATTTGATATTAATATTTTAGAATATTTTATTATCAAATAACAGTTTAAGAACATTAATGAAGTATTATGACAAAATGTTTATAAAATCAAGATAAAATCTATGTTTAAAAAGAATTATTTAATGTTTCTTGTTTACTAGGATCTATATATTCCGTCAAAGACGCGTTATTATGCAAATGATCACTATATATCTCATTGTTATATACGATAAAAAACATGGACGTAATGGCAAAACGTAATTAAGATAAGATTAAATTATGCAAGGACATCTCAGGACACTTGACGTAAAAAAAGTACGAGCTGTTAATTCCATTAATACGTCATCATGTATGATAGGATGTGTATGTATAAAGTAAAAAGTAAGTAAAGTAAAGTATGTATAACGTAATTAAGATAAGATTAAATTATGCAAGGACATCTCAGGACACTTGACGTAAAAAAAGTACGAGCTGTTAATTCCATTAATACGTCATCATGTATGATAGGATGTGTATGTATAAAGTAAAAAGTAAGTAAAGTAAAGTATGTATAACGTAATTAAGATAAGATTAAATTATGCAAGGACATCTCAGGACACTTGACGTAAAAAAAGTACGAGCTGTTAATTCCATTAATACGTCATCATGTATGATAGGATGTGTATGTATAAAGTAAAAAGTAAGTAAAGTAAAGTATGTATAACGTAATTAAGATAAGATTAAATTATGCAAGGACATCTCAGGACACTTGACGTAAAAAAAGTACGAGCTGTTAATTCCATTAATACGTCATCATGTATGATAGGATGTGTATGTATAAAGTAAAAAGTAAGTAAAGTAAAGTATGTATAACGTAATTAAGATAAGATTAAATTATGCAAGGACATCTCAGGACACTTGACGTAAAAAAAGTACGAGCTGTTAATTCCATTAATACGTCATCATGTATGATAGGATGTGTATGTATAAAGATTAAATTTATGCAAGGACATCTTAGAACACTTGACGTAAAAATAGTACGTGCTATTAACCTTTTATATGCCACTGTCGAGTTATCTCGTCAGCGGAAATCAATGCCTGCCGTGCCACTGTCAAATATACTCGCGTGATATTTTAGTGTGAACATATCGCGTGATATTTTAGTGTGAACATATCGCACCAAAAAAATTTCTGATCGCGTTCTAACTGCTCAGGCATTTCCTGCCTGTTATTTTAAGTTAAAATAAAAATAAAAATTCTAAAATTAATTTGGCACAGAGCATTTTGCTACTAATTCAGTAATTCGGCAGTAAAAAGGTTAATTCCATTAATACGTCATCATGTATGCTAGGAAGTATGTGTAAAGAAATTTTCTAATTGTAAATTCCGATTATGCCAATCGATAATTAACTTAGCTAGCGTTGTTACTATTATGGAAAATAAAGTTCAATTTGCTACTAAAAATATAATGAAAATTCTCTTATTCACTCTTTATAAACTTAATTTGAAATTGCTATTAGTATCAAGTATTAAATGCTCCGTTTTGCTAATGTATACCAAATTATTTTTTAAATCTTCTTTCTTATCTTTTTTCATCTTCTTATCTAGTCATTAGTAAAAAGCAAATTACATAGTTAAATATTTTTTCAAACAAATTACGCGTTATTATTTATTTATTATTGGACACGTGCTATATAGATAAAATGATTCAAACGATTAAAGTAACTATATCAACGTACAATAGAACGCAAAATACATTATTATTACTGAAAGTCCTCATACGAGAACATAAGTACTATTAAATACATTACCTGGTGGAAAATTTATCTCCGTCCGTTTTTGTTTTTGTAATGTGATAAAAGCTAGTAACAAAGTCAAAATAACTAGGATCAACGTCACCATCATGCCGTGGCTAATGCGTTCTCCGTGATTCAAATTCAAATCACTGGACGATATTTGGGAACGATCGTCTTAACTGCTCGTAGCAATTAATACCTTATCAAAATTAAAGTAAAGATCTTGTAATAATCGTTCTGGTCTATTATAATTTATCAGAACGCTGTTTTGTTAGCCTCTCATGTAACTGCCGGATATAGCAGAATGGTAATTATCTGAAAAATTATTTATGCACCAGAAGTCTACAGTCGGTGAATTTGGCGTCTTGCCTCTTCACAGAAAAAAACAAATTCGTACTAACTTCACCATGGTTGATCTGACACTATATAAGCACACACATTCAAATGCAGCAGCGTTCCGCTTCGTCAGTACGCATGCGAACTCGACTGACTACAGCGCCTGACTAAGTTTGAGTTATATAACTGTCAGCGACGTATTACATATAGCCTTACATCATATATATTATCCTTACTGATTGGATGAGATCCTGTAATGAATCACTTTACATAAAAAAAATGATTATGTAAGAAAAATCAAGGTTAACTTTAATATCTTCTCCCGTGTGCCAAATAAAAAAAATTGAAACTATTCGCAAACACAATATAAGTGTTATATAACGTAGAAACACAATATAAGTGTTATATAACGTAGAAATAACACATAATATATAACGGCTGTTATACTTTATTTGTTTGGATAACAATCGTAATTTTTATGTATTTAAGAAAAAATTTTGTATATATTCTTATAACTATTATATTGCTTTGCAATTTGCAAGTAACGACAAAATAACAGCGATATAACTTAAATATAACACGTTAAATAACAAGTGTAGTGCTTGAATTGTTTTAATATGTTTTTATATATTGTGTAATATTTTTTATATATTTTACAAAATATCGTTTTAATCCAGAAGTAGTGACCTCATTTCTTTTTTTATATAAACGATCACCAGTTATTTAAACCCTAATTAAAAACCGCTAGTATTAACAGAATATAGCATATTATCGATAGTTCTATGATTTATTATTATTTAGAGATATTGCAAATATAGATTTACTCCATACTTTTTGAAAAAAGTGAGGAGAAACCCAAAGAATATTTAAGAACCGAAATAAGCGCATTAAAGGTTTTATTACGACTATATTTCGAATGAATAAAAATATCTATTTAAAAAGCACTATTTTATATTGCCTATTTTTGATGGGATAACGTANATATATATATATATATATATATATATATAACACTTATTTTTTATAATGTAAAATAAGGCAAAAATGGCGGTCATACAAAGTTACCAATATTGATTCAGGATTGTAAAAAATTATTAATTTTTATATTTCTTTATTGTATTATATAAATATGTAACATAAACAATAACATAACATAAACAATAATTTTAAAAAATTAAAAATTTTTAAGAATATAGATATTTTTTATATTTAACATTAAGTAAAAAATGTAGTTTAAAATATTAATTTCATTTATAATAAATGTTAATGTTAACTATATATGTATATACATAATATTATATATATTAGTTATAATGCAATAAATAAAAACATTAGACCTTTACTTTTTTTCTAGGTATTATTATCGATCAGTGATATAAATATTGCTTAATGCTTACTGGAAACCGGAATAAAATTAACCTCAATCAAGCTTATCTTGCATTCAATACGAACTCTTACCGTCTCTCTACCGTAAATCTTACGACAGTTGCAACGTGAACGACAATCTTGAGCTATTTTGTACCCCAACGAATTTTCACAGACTTATGAATAAGACGGATTATAGCCTATTTTTGTTGAACAGGTTAGGTCTCTACATGTCCAAATGTAAGATAGGTATTGGTTCTCGTCAGCCAAATAAACTCATTGCAACGTGAGCTTCTTTTCCTAATCGCTAGGGTCTGAAATGACCTTAACTCTAATAGCACATTTCATTGGCGTTACAATTAGTCCGTTCTTTATAGTTGTATAGCTGAACTGGTGCAATAAATTGAAGTAAGAAAACGTATGCTTGTCTCACTGCAATTTATTTCACTAATGCAGTTATAAAGAACAAAGCTGCATTGCAAATAGGAGATTTTGAATTCAGAAAACACATTTTACATTTTTATTTTTCTTTAAATATACGACAAAGATAGGATAAACTGCACATAGTTAATTGCACGTTTTCTGAATTCATGTTTTGCCATAAAATATTGTACATGTAAAAAACATATCGATTTAAGATTTATATATTCTAATGAACCCAATCATTGTTTCATATATAATAAATACTATATTCTTACAAAAATGTCCGCATGCTTTAACAAGGGAACCTAGGCAAGCCGGAAATTCAGAAAATTTTGAACTGTTGTGCAATAATTGTTGAATTGTGTGCAATAGTTCAGAATTAGCAATAGGGTAGTTCATCCGTAACACAAAACAATTTTCTGTTTGGAATTATGCATATATTTTACAAATTTTACCCGTTATCTGTGAGTCAGCGTTTCTCATTTTTTTGCTGTTCTGGTAAGATATACAACATACTAAAAATTAAAATGTCTTTTTTTTGATGCTCGACACTAGAAATGGGCAAAAGTATCGGTGTTTGAAAAACGTTGAAGTTCGTTAATGAAGGATGTATCGTTCGAGTTTGTCGGATACGTCGATCGGATAGTCCCTAACATTTTCTCTAGATGTAATACTATCCCCAATGAGCGACATCGATGATTTTGTCCATACCTAGTCACGTGGCTACACTTGACGTTGGTTTCAGCATTCCATGAATTTGCGCCTTAAGATTTTTACGTGGATTGAAAGTTAATGGAAACATAAAGTGCATCGAAATAGAATATCTTAAAGTCTATAGCACACATATCCACCTATGTGTATGGTCTGTCGAATTTGATATCAAGTAAAACATCGAATTTGTAAAAAATATGATTAAGCGTAACAATTTAAGATATGGCATACCGTTTATGATTTTTATCTTTGGTGGATTACTCGGCCTTCGAGAATTTGCAGAAATACGGTAATAATATAAGTACTATATAAAGATGCACAATGAAGTTTTATGTGCATTAAAATTGTGCCATCATTTTATCATTAAATTCATTTTTTAGTTACAAATACAGAAACACTCGATACGTAAAAGATGAAGTAAAAGACGTGGGAATTTTGACAAAACCAGTGGAAGAGATTACGTTAGAAAAAGAATATGAGAAGTTACAAAAGGTACGATTGTCTAAAAATAAGGTAATGTAAAGTTATCTGAAGATAACTATAGTCTCACAAGTTCAAAGGATGCAATTATTTTCCCCACTGTATATCGTGTTATATCCTTTATTCAGGTAGACATCGACAATTGGGAAAATACACGAATACAGAGACCATGGGAAGAAACGAATACAAAATAGTTTGGTTAAAACAAAACTCTACTGTTACTTTATCAGTATAATAACCAGATCAATTCGTTAGTCTTCGAAACAAGTATTTATTGCGAGTATTTTTACCAATTTCTTATATATTATGTATAGTATATATGTATAAAGACACACACATGTTTTCACATACTTGTCACAGATATAACAGAATATATATGTATATAAAGATGATATAATTTTTTTGCCATAAACTAGGTTTTCCACTATGATTAGGATATAGCTAATACTTTGCCATTGTCTTATATAATAGTTGATTCTGCACCAGGCAGGAATAAACTTGAGCAATTATTGATCTTCAATTGGCAGTGTGTATGTGAAGCAGCAAAATGATAAAACTCGAAATGAAATTCTGGGTTTTCCAGCTGGAAAGCGTATTCTAGCAATTTTTTTTTAGTTTGGACATTGGAACTCCACTCAACACTTCATTGAACACATTTAAAAAAAATGCTGTTAGTCAATGTTTATGTGTATTACACGATCTCACAAGACCGCATATAGTCCAGGATTAAATAAATTCGTAAACTTAATATTTAAGAGTCGACCTGTATGAAAAGAGAACAGTCTATAAATTTGTTACAATTTTTAGCATAAATTATATCCTTATGTGTTACATACACGAAATTAAAGAAAAACATTTTTCCATACCTTTTTTGAAATCCGTACATGCTTAATAAATTTTGCTGGTTAGGAACTGATGACAACTGTCTAGTTGGACGTGTTTGTTTCGTTATTGAATTAACTTTAGGTGATGCCTAAGAATAAAAAAATTTGATAATGAATTAATAGTTCTATATATATATTCCGTTAATCTTGTTTGTATAAATTTATATTTACCGATTTCGGTGTGATCTGTTTTTTAGAATTCTCTATTCTTCTGCGCGGGGTGACCTGATAACTTTTCATATTTGACCATTTACGCAAATCTCCTCGTAGTTTACTCGTTTTCTCGTGATCAATGAAATGATCGATATGTTTTACGTTTGAACTTAATGCTAATGAATCATCTGAGACATAACTGTCATTAATTCTTGTACACTGTATCGTTGACGATATTTCAGTTATCCTGTCGTCAGAATATGATCTTTCATGAACATTTTCGTAAAAATTAGTTAAAAATTCATTTTGATTCGTGAAGAGTGTATCATTCATATTTTCCGCTGAGACAGTATTTTCTATGGAGCTTAGTTGTTCGTGACTTGTTCTACTGTGTACATTACGTATATCGCCGTCCGCATCTGCAATTATATTACATCCTACATTACTTTCTGAATTAGCAACTTCGGTGTTATTCCCTAACTTGGATATATCGTGCTGTTCATTATCCTTTTTCGAGAAGTATCTGCTTTCTACTATAGTATTCTCATCTATGATAGTTCGCCTGATGCGCATTAAATTTCTTCCTCTTTGACGATTATTTCCACTAGATAAAACACTGGGTGAAGTCATGAGTTCCGATACACGTTTAACAAACGGATTTCTTTGCCTGGATAATTCCGGTGACATATTATTTTCTAAGCTTAAAATTTGCTCCGATTTCTGTTCAGGACTGGCAATTAACTTCGTATCTTGACAATTATACATATCCAAGATATTTTCTTGAACATTTTGACACTCCAAAACATTATCACACTGCGCAGTCAGGTTGTTATTCAATTTTGACGGGACACACTCGTCCTTTAAAGAGTCCCTTTGTAAAACCTGTTTTCTTTCAGTAATGACAAACGAGTTGGTTATTGCATTTCCAAAAATCGACGTGTGATTCTTTCCTTTTGATTTATCTCTCAATTCATAGTTGCCTGACCAAATGCTGGTGTGATTTATCGTTATTCGTCCTGTTTCAGTACTTCGCTTCCTTTTTTTTTCCTACAATATACAACCAAGTTCAGACACATTTTGATAGTTCCATTTTGATAGCACCATATTATTTGTAAAGATCGTATATAATTACGACATAGCACCGTAGTTTAATCGTGGTTAAACAGTTCAAAGTTACTTACAATCTTATCTGGATTAAAATTATGGAGCATTTTCAAAGTGCACGGATCGCAATTGCCAAGAGCCAGTTGTAAAGCGAGATCCGCGTTTAATTCTTGCCCGGCATATCGTAATTGATCTTCAGTAATATCAGTTGTTGGCGGACTCAAGCGCACTTGTTTTCTTCGTAATGGACAAAATACCAACTGATGTTTAAATGTTATATCCGCTAATATAAAAGCATCCCTATATTCCTGGGTCACTTCTAACGACTTCATGTTGAGAACTGATCCAATGCGTACCAACGCCTTAACATTGAATTAATATCAATTAACATCAAGCAAACGTTTTACTTTGAAAATAGCATAACAAATTATCTAACCTTGTGAATATTAGGATCTGTATTTCTTGTGATAAACTTTTGTGCCTTTTTCAAACCAATACCAGGGAGAGAAGGTAGATAATCGCAACCAGACAGAATGCAAATATAACGTAGTTCATCCATGTTGAATTGTTCAGGTCGCATATCCATTGCCAGGTGTAATCGGTCTTGTTCAATCAAAACTCCATTTCCATTGATGTCCATTTTAAAGAATATCTATAATTTTTTTTGGTTTATTTGAGCATGAACATGTGATTATAGTAATATTAGCAAGTCCAAAATTAAATAAATTCTTGAAACTAACTTTTTTGCATCCAAACAACGTCAAGTCACTATCTTCTGTAATGACAACATCTGCTATATTACTGATATTTAAATATGCCAATTGTGCATCAGCTTCGTAAGGAGCTACAATGCAATCAATATTCTCACTCTGGCAATATTTAATTAATTCTAATGCCATTTCATGAGTAATATCTATGGCTCGTTTTAACAAATTCTTTCCTTCATTAGTCTGACCCATTTTTATCAACTCAAGTGCTTTGCGGCGATTCCTTTGTCTAGCCCTAAGAGATAATATAGCAGTATAAATTAATATAAATCTTCCGATGATTTATATAAAGCTTAAGATAGACCTAAGTAGATTTATTCCAATTTAATCAAATCATTGGTTTATTGAAGATTAGAATATCCATATAGTAATCCATGTTTCTTACTTACTCCCGTCTCTTAATTTCTGTTTTTTCTTTAGCAGGCAAATGCCGACCATCAAACACTAAAATTGGCTTTATATTATGTTTTAAGAGCATATTTATAAATTTTGTACAATACAGAACATACCTATAAAAAAAAATGAAAGAAAATAAGCGTTAATCATTATTAATACTTTAAAGAGAAAGAAAGGAGAGAGACACAGATAATGAAAGATGGAATGTTGAAAAGACAAAGAATGTCAATATAAATAAAGTTACTTAACGCATTCGTTGTTTGTCCCATCATCACTTTCTCAGCACAAGAAAATACACCTTTGTGTAACCAACAATAAGTATCGATTGCCACGGTGTCACCAGAAAATTCGCTGATATTGGTACGTTTAGAAGCCTTTTCTAAAAGTGGCAACAAACCGGTGATACCCATTTTTACAAACTTCTTTGGTTCGTGATCTATCGAGAAACAAAGGAGCACACAAGTATCTTGTCAACGTCTGTTCACGTTGCCGCCAGATTTCAAACCCGATTTACGTATTCTCTAGTGTATCATACATGCATACCGAATATTTAAAGCCTCTAACTGGGCGACTTCAGCGCGCGCCACATCGAGTGCGGTAACCTCCTATACTTGGAGAAAATCGATAACAATCGATTGATAATAGTCGATTCGTCGGACATGCAGCGACGCTAACGTAGTATCCTCCGAAGCCACGCGAGTGCAGCAGCGTTCCTGCAATTGACGGATTTGAACTGCTCTCCCGTTAGTAAAGCATCGGACGAGACAACGTTCAATCTATGCAGAATGGGATGAAGTAATTGGGACGGATTCTGAGCTAACAGAAGAGCAGGTAGACCAAACACCATTCTCAGGAATGGTGAGTACCGATGGAACAAAATCCGTAACCAACGTGCAAACGCCTGCGACTTGCGTACGCGCGTCGAATCGCATGCGTTCAGCTCGTGAATTTCCAATTCAATTTAAAGCGACTGACTTCGTTGTAATGTAGCAAAGGGAACGCACATCTTCGTAGAGAGGATTAAGGAGAGAACCAGAGTAAAAACAACATATAAGATATATAGGAAACATTGTTGTATTTTGTAGTCACACGCACCCAAGTAAATAGGAGCTTCTAAAAGACGTTTGAAAAAATAAGGATGTTTATCTTTAGACATCTTCAAGATGTCCCGAAGATGTCTTTTAGAAGTTCCTGCCGTCTGAGTGTGTATATTAAAAATTTCTCCTTGTCACATGCTGGTAGTCGATTTTCGCATTTGCAAGTAATATCTTCGTTTCTGTTAAGCGAGATTAATCAAGAGCACCGACGAGAGAAATTACAGTCGGAAATCGGTCAGTGCTCCTTTCGATTATTCCCGGACCCCAGCCGCGCGAAACTTTACCCTCAGATATGAATACTTGGAATTTTTCTTAGCAACGGATATCAACACGTCGATTGTGCGCTCGGTGGATGAGCGTGAGGAAATTAAAGATTATCGACGTTATGGGAAAGACGTTTGAGCTCCAATGCGATTGCCTCGGGTAAATCTCGTCCCACTTGAGCGTCAAAGTACTCCCCCAAATCTTCGACCTCCTTTTGCCAAAAGGTCTTCGGCAGCCGGAACAACTCCGTCATGTCCACGTCCTCGTTGAGATTTTCAACGTTGATAGATCCAGGTGTCGGCAACAGGCCGATGGCCGACTCCGCGGCGATGTCCTCGCCGTCGATCCTTCGGAGAATCCAGTCGAGTACGCGGGAGTTCTCGCCGAATCCCGGCCAGAGGAAGTTGCCGCTCGGGCTCTTCCTGAACCAGTTTACGTGGAATATCGCCGGCAGCTTGGCGTTTTTCACGTTCGCCATGCTCAGCCAGTGCGCGAGATAATGCCCGAAGTTGTAGCCGAAGAACGGTCTCATCGCGAACGGATCGTGCATGATCACTTTACCCTGCAAAGCGCGCTCGGGCTTAGTTCGACTCGCTCACTTTGATATTTAACGGTCGATATTCGTCAAATTTGAGACGCGATTAAACGGATTACGATACCTTGTGCTCAGCGGCGGCGGTAGCCTCGGACCTCATCGAGGCGCCGATGAAAACGCCGTGCTGCCAGCTTCGAGCCTGGTAAATTAAAGGCACGCCTTCGGGCCTTCGGCCTCCGAATAGTATAGCGTCGATCGGAACACCGGTTGGATCTTCCCAAGCGGGATCGATTATGGGACATTGCTTAGCCGGCGTGCAGAATCTCGAGTTCGGATGCGCAGCCGGCGTCTTCGTGCCTCTGGACCAATCGTTGCCTCTCCAGTCTACCACCTGTCGCAAAATACCGCCATTTCGCCGGTTGTTACGCTCTTGTTGTCCTCGGGAAAATTAAACAACAACAACCGAAGACATTCGTTCGTTTTACCTGAACGTTATCCCCGATTTCTTTCTCCATTCCTTCCCAATACACTCCGCCGTCGCTGGTTGAGGCCACGTTGGTGAAAATGGTATTCCTGAAGATCGTCCTCATGGCATTGGGATTTGTGCCGGAGCTCGTGCCAGGCGCGACGCCGAAGAATCCGTTCTCCGGATTGATAGCGCGCAATCGTCCCTTATCGTCGAATCTCATCCACGCGATGTCGTCACCGACACACTCGATCTTGTAACCCGGCAAAGTGGGCTGCATCATCGCAAGATTCGTCTTGCCGCACGCACTCGGGAAAGCGGCGGCGATGTAACGCTTCTTGCCCTTCGGATTCGTGATGCCTAATATCTGAAATAGCGGATAGGTCTTATTTATTTCACTTCCGCTTTCGAAATCATGCGTCTTTGTCTTAAATAACACACAATGAGTGTCTCGTGTTCGAAATCTCGAACCAAAAAGCCGTTCTATTTGTGATCGATAGCAAATCACTGTATGTTATATAAAAAAAGATAATTTAGATGAAGATTCAGACCATAAAACGTTGTCTTAAAATTCCAAGTCAATCATTCTGCCAAGATAAATCTCTGAGTTTTAACTGAGATTTATCTCCTTAAGTCTCTAATAATCGCGATATCTCGAGTAATTTCCGGTAAAATAACTTTCGTGATGCTTCATATATATATAAATTATACGTTCACTCTCGATACGCGATGAAGAGATAAACCGTTATTTACCTCGTTAATAACGAATAAGCGCAATATCACCGGTTATCGCATCGATGCCGTGAAAAAGAAATAGATTACATCGAATTGGATCAAACAACGTACAACTAAACAAAGAGGTCAAAGAAACAACAATGTCAGGCACGTACGAGCATATGTTCGGCGAGCCATCCTTCTTTCCTGGCTATCGTCGAGCCGATACGGAGGGCGAAGCATTTCTTCCCTAGCAAAGAGTTGCCGCCGTAACCGCTTCCGTAAGACACGATCTCGTTCTTCGCGGGTCGGTGTAGAATAATCGTTCTTTCGGGATCGCACGGCCACGAGTAGTTCACGACGGTCTTGGAATCGTGCCTCGGGATGCCCACCGAATGCAAACACTTGACGAAGTCGTCGTTCCCCAGCGTCTCGAGCACCTTACCTCCCATCCTGGTCATCACCCTCATCGAGCATACCACGTAAGCCGAGTCGGTAATCTCGATGCCGATTTTTGAAAGCGGCGAGCCCACGGGCCCCATGCTGAAGGGAATCACGTACATGGTACGTCCTGGTGTGTCAGAGGAAAAGACAATTATCGTCGCGTTCGCAGCTGCAACAGCTGTCGCGTTAGACGTCATGTTTGTAACATTCGTCCGTGAAGGGGATGAACCCTTTCCGAACGGGCACAACATTTCTGTCGCCGGGGTATTACAGCGATGGCATGAGACGCCAAATATGACAGATCTCGATGGGATTCTTCTTCTTCGATGAGACTTGTGTCGGGGAAACGAGCCCGTCGAAATAGAAAGAGAAAGGGGGAGAAACAGAGTCGTGAAAATACGTGAGAGGAAATTTCACTAACCCTTCATGCAACCCGGAAAACGTTGCAAGATAGCGTCGTCCATGTCGTTCGGAGACATCCAGTTGCCGAGCTCTCCGATTGTACCTTTTCGCGGTGTAGGGATGGTGTCGTTCTTCACGTCTGTGCTGATGAAGGTGCGTTTCTCAACGCGTGCGACATCCGCAGGGTTCGTTTTAGCCAGCCAGCTATTCGCACGTTGGAGAACGCGATAAATTAACAACCGCACGACATAGAAAACGCGAGTCCGGTCCTCACGAGCGGGCCGCGAAACACTTACCAATTTTCATATTTCGGTAAATTCTCGATAGTGCCGTTTTTCTGCAGAATATTCAGAAGTTGCACGTATTCCGCGTCTGTGCCGTTGCAGATGTAGATGTCCTTGGGACAGCACAGAGAAGCACACTCCTCGATGTAGTGGCGGAGCTTCGCCGAGATTTCTACCGCGGACGCATTCAATAACGGTGTTTTGCCAATGTAATCGTAATCATATTTGACCGACGGATTTTTCGCTGCGTGGGTCACCAGAAATTTCGGGAATCTGAAAGAAGCACAACGGTTCCCTATTTTTCAGATCTTTCTCACAATTTACACACATACACACGGCGTGTGTGTCGCGTATTCTTCAATTTTCAAATTTTCATCTAATATTTTTCATACGCGAGAGGAAAAGGAAAGGCAATTTGTGCGGTTTGTAATACGTGCTGAAATTCACTTTTACTTTTACTATGAGCCAGTAGTTAACGATTCTCGTCGCTATCAGTTCAGCTGGTAACAGGCGGGCTCGCCGCATATTTACGACACTATCGTCCGTGCAAGTCTACGCTCCTCGTTCATGGTCATCGAAACCTTGCGAAACGAAAATTTGCTTCCCGCGTGTTGCAAGATGTGACATCGTTGCGTCAGGGAAGCTCGATTTCAAAGCAGGATGTAAAGCACACTGCCCACTGGTGGGGGGATGGGGAGAGGGTGATATCACGTTTCTCTTCTCTCAGTTATCGCAGCTGCTTTGTTTCTATTCCATTTCTCGATATCTCACTTATTGATCGGGATTTTTACCGTATGCCCCACTTAAAACATCTCCGAGCGGAAGATTTCAGGTAGACTTCGAGATGAGACTTTAATTCGTGGCTCTAAGTCGTAAAGATACGCGATATTAAAAACTGGAAAATCGCGATAAGTGATAACCCCCCCCCCCCAAATCCTTCTACCTTGAACTTTCTCTGCTGAGGAAAATTCGATTCCGAATTGCTCGGGGGATCCGCTAGATTATGCGGATAAAGAAGTGAGACGCGGGCATACGCGTGTTGCTTTATTATATAACTTTTTTTATTTATAGAGCCTGACGCTTTCACATTCGCTACCTATAATTGCGCTCCGCAGACACCTGCGGCTCAGGCTCCCTCATTGACCTCTTTGCATCAAACTGATTGTTTATCCGCGAGAGTCTGCCCGAGTCTTCTCTATCTTCTTTTAATTTGAAGCGCTTACCCGAAGCGCTTCTCGCGCGCTCGCGACGTTGGTTCGTTAAGTTTTGAAAGGTTGAGCAGAAAAGGCAGCGTTGAAGCGAAACTTCGCTTTGGGAAGAGAGGAGGGGCAAAAGTATCGAATGCCAAATACAAAGTATCTCGATCGTTCCCAACGAATTTCGACCTTCTTCGGTGTGCAAAAATTAACATAACAATCAATCCGTCGTGAGCAGTACAGAGTAATAATAATGCAAAGCCGTTCAAATGAAAAATCAAATATGAGACGACTGTGACCCGTGAAATGTTAGAGGCGAAAGTACAAAGCTCGTCGCGCAATTAATAAAAAGGATAACTTGTGCATCGCCGAAGCAAGAGTAGAACAGAAACAGGAAATCGAATGTGTCTCGATGTTAACACAGCTAAGAACGATACGATAATTAACAAGCATCGTACGGCTAAGGTACGAATTTAAATTCCGCTTAAATTTCACTGCGCTTAAGACGGGGAGCCCGCTTACTTCGAGCTTCCGACTGCGGAGTGATAACCGTCTTAATCGATGATAATATAACGAGCGTCGTAATGCAAATGAAAATAATGAACAGGGCACTTACGGGGACTGATGGTAAATATCGACGGCGTGTGGCATCTTGCGGGCTCTCTCGTTCCTGAAGGCCGACGGTGTTAACAGATGTATGGAACGGCTGTTGTTGAACGTCTTCGTGACATAAATTGTACTGAAATTCGTTCGTGCGGCGACGCTGTCCCTAAAGCCGGAATCGACGAAGAAGTTCCTGCTGCCGTCGAACCGTCGCGAAATTCGCGCCAGGTCTTGCCAGCTGATGCGGTGGAGTTTAGGCGGCATGTCGGCCTGCCTCGTCGGAAAGACTTCTTTATATGCGACAGCCAAATATATTGTGCTCGAACGAGCCCGCGAGATCCTCCCGTCCGATTGGTTGATGAGCGCTGTCACCGTTGGACCACCGATAAGATAGTGGGGAGCGCGCGTTAACGTGCGATTAACAACGAAACGGCCGATGAGGTTTACGTGGCAGCCACGCGCAGCACTTCCGAGTGGCTAACGCTTTCCTACGAAGCGGCCCGCGCTCCTTCCCGCTAGCTCGGGATTCGATAAAGAGATAGATAGTTGAAAATCAAGCGACGCGACACCTTTTACGTCACGAGCGAGCCCGCGCGGGAAAGGCGAGAAAAATGGTCTCTCCTGGTTTGTCGTAGTTGCGCGAAACGGGTTTGCGATATTGAACTATACTGTATCGAATGACAAAGGATCCGTTACATACGTGTGTATACGCGTGTGTGCGCGCGTGGGCCGCGGTCGGGTGTCCACCTTGGGAAAGCAAAAGTGGGGTGGCGATGACGATTAAAACTCGCTTTCGCATTAAAACGGGAATCTCCGCTCGGACGCTGATTTTATACCGAAAGTCGTTAACTCACTCTCGCTGTTCTATTTCCGTGTGAGCGTGTGCCTCGCTCATCGACTTTCAGATTTTCCGCTATCTACCTCACGCACACATCGCCTCTCACGCTCACGCGCGTGTCACTCGCTCGTACACACCGCGCCGGCCGACAAACGGGTAAGACCGCTATTCGCGGCCCGCGCAATTATGGGCTCCGACGAAAGGGATCGTGCCTTTTATTCGGCCCACTCGACATTCCGCACAAAACATTGATAAGTGATAATGAGCTGTAGAATTTTATTTAATCGTGTTTACGACTAGACGATACGCGCGCGCGCGCGCGCGGAACGAAAGGAGAGAATTATACCGCCGGGTAAATCATATCATTGTCATCCGGAGTCGCGTTTACGCGTTCGCGATACTCTCACTTTCTCTCTCTCTTTCTCTCCCGCGCATAGTCCCTCGCAATATCCCCCGCAATAACATCTACATAGATAATGTAGGCATCTTTGAATATGTAAACTTGAAAAATTCCACATTTGCATACATACACAAGGTGTTCTTATAGATAAGATAAAGGCGGCGATACCGCACGCAAAGTTTTCACGAAAATAAACTTTATTTCCTTTCTTGAAAACAGCGAAAGAGAAGGGTAAAGAGGAAACGCGTTCTGTAATGATGTATATGTATATATATAATGTATATATAATGTGTATATAATAACTCTTATCACATTCGTATCAGTGTCAATATCATAAAGCAAGGTTCAAAGAAGAATGTTCAAGTGAGAAGAATACAAACCGGATCACCTTATCGTACGCAATCGCTGCCTCATGCCTCGTCATAAATTTATTTATCTCGCCTACTTCCGCGTTTTTAACATGTACCGCAAAAGTTAGATATCCGGAAAAGAATTCCGGGGGAGGTGATTAATTCCGCGGATTGTACTATCATCGAGAAGCCACCCGGGTGGAAGGATTTCACCCTTGGAAACGATGTTGTCGTGTAAAAACACTTGGAAATGAATTTGCGTAATCGTTCATACATAGTCGTCGATTAAATCCGTAGTGCGAAAAAAAAAATACAACGCATTACATTAGCATCGGAGCAGATTACTAAAAATAACTGTTATTCCGGTTCCCCTGGTTCGTTTCTCGCGTCCGTATAAGATTGTGAACGCTAAAAAGGAAGAAGAGAAGTTAAATCCACTCCCTTTCTGTGATACCGGATAACACCAGCGTTGTTCGGTTCGATTAATTGAACTTCGCTCCTCCTGTGATTTTAAAATGGCGGCCACGCTCTCGCGTGTCTTAACGGAAGTAATATATTTTCCGGGGCAACGTGTATCTTCTCGATGCATTTTTCACGAGTTTCCAGCGAAAAAACTCAACTCGGGATTAGAATGATTATTGATTTGAGAGCGCAGCTCTAAACGCACAGCTGGCTGTCTCGCGTGTAACGAGGCACACCGATATGGCGCAACAGAGAAACTAATTAAGCGATTATTAACAATCGTTTCTTGTGTGCGACTGAAACAAACGGAGTAAATGATGCAATAGTATTTAGAATTGCTGCGCGTCCATTATATAAAAGAGAGAGAGAGAGAGAAAGAGGATATAACGCGCGTACGTATGTAATTGGCAATGAAGAAATGAAAAGGGCACGAACGATAGCTCATGGGGCATAAATAAGCACGTTTTAATATTTTTATTTTTATTTCTTTTTTAATGAACATGACTTTGTCCTTTCGCTGTTGTGTTATCATGGAAAATATCGGATTTATACATTATCGCAGCCAGACGGTAGGTGGACTACGGACCAAAGCCAGGAGCGGATCCCGTTCAAGTTACATCGCCGACGAAGCGGCGCCCATCAGTGACGGCTCTACGGTCGACGTAGCTTAAACAGTTGATTGGTTGATCGTGAAAACAGGTGATTCGTATATATCATATAATACATGAAATATACAAAAACCGAGATTGTTTAACGTCATGTTATATTATATCAATATTCACGAACGAAATTCTTCCATATACTCGTAATAATAATAATATAATTGTTGCATATTCATTCAATTGTATAAATTGATCTACATTTTACATTGCTAACGATTGTTACTCGATGATTTATCGGTCGACATACGCGCACATAACAGGAAGTCATCACTCCCCTACGTACACGTTACGCGTTATTTACTCATACCTAAGGAAATTTTCCATCTTTATTGGTTTAGCATTTACATAGTTGCCAGATATTTCTTTTTTTTTTTCACATCGCTGGAAGTTTGAGAATTCCGATGTATGTCGTTATATGAATAATATTCTTCTCTCGCGTCCACGCTGCCGAATCGCGGGCTCGCGAATGGCGAAATCATACATATAACAGACGCACGCACAAACACATGTCAAGTGGCCTGACGTAGCTGGAGGCTCGACTCGTGTGGCCTACGACTTGCTTATCAAGGATATTGCATAAGAGGAAGGCTCGACTTGGCATGATGTATATGTCGATATCGATTTCGTAAGAAAAGAGAGGGGGGATAGAGGAGGAGAGGGGGGAGGAGGAGGGAGGAGAAATAGAAGGAGAATAGCGCTTGACTAACGTTATTTCACCTTCTCGCTGACGTTCTTTTGCATTTATTTTCTTCAATTTGTCAAAGTACGCGTGTCGCAAGAATACGTTGTGTAATGAACGCGTGCGAAAATTTATTACAATGATGAGCGTGTAAAAGAAAGGAACAATTATTTATTTATTTCGTATACGTATCGGATATACTTTCTTCCTCCTATCACGTTTGTTTTATCCGCGGAAATTTTAGAAAGTTCACGCGAGAGAGACCGACGCGCATTTACGGCGTTGAGTACGGACTCGTAGACGGAACAAAGTGTAAAACAGCTGACACAGGTCAGAGATAGGAGGAGGAATGAAACGAATGTGCCGCCTCATGTGTCTCCTTCTACATGCAGGTATTTTTTTTCCTTCACCTTCAGACGGCTGTGTCCGTTGCATGCGTGTGTAGCGGGAACGTGCGGTGGTTGGAGAAAAGTCTTTTCTTTTTTTCTTTATCACAAACGGCTGCGATTTGCAAATCACTTGAATATCATGTGTTTCCTTTTTCTCTTCCTTTATCACGATGTGTTCATTTAGCGAAACGAAAAACATCTATAAACGCCTGATATTTGCCAGCTTCGTTGCCTAACGTATTTACAATGAAGGAGCCCCCCAGCGACGAGTTGAGCAATTCCCCCGAGCGTTATTATCATGGTCTTTAACCTCCGCACTTCGTAATAAAGAGGAGAGATCTGCGGAGACCCGCGCTCTATTTTTGAAACTGACATTACGAAACATCATCTCGAGTGTCCGTGATACTGCACGGGGAATAATTGCAATAATTGCAATGTATTTTATTTATTTCGTCAGTTAAAATCGCGCGAATGAGGAAGGGGGGACTTGTTTTTCTCCTTGCTCGACCTCTCGGGGAGGCTTGGCTCGCTTGGGAAAGAAAAAAATCTCGACGATACACACATCCAAGTCGGAAACATGCTGCGTTTTCAAATTGCCGCTAAGCAACGGTCGATTGCCTCAATTGTCTTGATTGCCTCGATCGTCAGAGAAGAATAAATCGTTAAAATTGATGTCGCAAGTTACGGAATATCCCGTACGCCAGAACCAATTATGCCATTTGCGAAGTCACGCACGTAATTCTTGGTTAAAGACGCGGCTGTGTTCGCTCTTCTGTCGCGATCTCATCGCAGATGGAACTCGGGATAATTGCAGGGCGCCGATATTACCGACCACGGCCATTTGTTATAAATCTGTGGAAGCTCGTGTACAGTTATCATCCGTGCAGGACATGCATGTATCATTTGGCTTATTCTTACGCGAAATACACAAACTTTTTTCACATGTGACCGCCTTTACGTTAGTCGATTCGTGTCGTTAAACTGGCCGGAAGAAAGGGGGTTTACGGGTAAGGTGCAGAAAGTGCGCGGCTTCGTGCACTTGGAATTCATAAAGGTAACCGTATAGATTCTTTTACGAAAAGGCTCTTCTTCATACTTCGTATTCCGCGGTGTGTATCAGCTGTTCAGTGACAGTTCGCCAATCGTAGAGGCCGTAGGAACCATAGAAGCGTCAAAACAGAGGAAGAAGTTTATTGTTTGGGACACAACTACAACATGGCTATCTGTGTGATTAATAATCAAGCGACACATCAATAGACAAAGAAGCAACGCAATACTCGCGAAGAAGTGAAAGCAATTCTCATGATAATTCGAATCACTTTGCGCTCGGCGTACAGTTCCGTTGTTCCAAACGAGGCGGTACGAGGCAAGAGATAAAATGTTGGAGCTGGAGGTGGTGCCCGAAAGGTCTCTTGGATGCGAGCAGTGGGAATTTATTTTAGGCAAGTGATGAAACGGAGAGAGCGAGACGAGTGTGTTATTGTTATGATCTTCGCGTGACGCGCATTAAATTTATCGCGTGAAATTTTACCCAACGATCGGATCGCGCACAGCTGATCGGTCGCGATGTCTTGCGACATCGGCGAGCGTGCCTAGCTACGCACTACGTGACTTGTCCAGTCCCTACTTTCGATCTGTTTACTCGTCTAAATATTCCACTGATCCACCAACGACACCAGATATCATCGTTATTTATTGATTTATTTTCCATCGTTTAACAATACGCACGTAATGTAACGAATCTGTCGAATATTTTTAATCCTTTGTGTCCGCTCCATCTATTACATCAGCATGCATGTGAGTAAACAACAAATATACTGTGACGAGCGTATAATCGACTATAGATATGCGCATGATGTTTGTGCTCTTAACATAAGGAATGAAATGAGAAATAGATGTAAACACTAAATGGAATATGGAGAGAAAGTAAAATACGAGATAATGACACTTGTTATCTGTCATTCAAATAATTACAGGCGCTGACTTAAACATTAATTTTGCCTATACTTTTGTTGCAGGTATGCATTTCTCTCAGTCAGTATCAATAATACAATCTCAAGTCGGTGTTATAAGAGGAGTACAAGTACTTTATAGCGACAGTGTAAGTGCATCCCGATATTTATTAAATGTACAACTTGTGTAAGAGCTTCTAAATATATACCAAATGCTAGCCTTTTCACAATCGTGCAGGCGAACAATTAATAAAACGATACATTGAGCATTGAATGTGCATTTGCAGAACCCGTTAGACGTAGATTTAGTGATAAATTTACCTCACGATGGAATTCGGCTTATATTCGATCCCATTGTACAAAGGCTTAAGATAATTGAAATTTACAATATGAAGTTGGTGAAATTGAAGTATTGCGGTTTGCCGTTCAATTCGCCGGAGGTGTTACCCTCGATCGAGCAGATAGAGCATTCTTTCGGAGCGACCCATCCTGGTGTTTACGACAGTGAAAAACAGGTATGCCATTATCTTCGATTCAATGGGCAAAAGGCAATGCACAGCAATGCATATTAAGATTTACTGTTCGATAAAAATAATTTTATATAGAATTTTAATATAGAATAAGTATAATTTATGTGGTATTTACACAGTGCATATATATAATAAATGTAACAATGAATCGTAGGTGTTCGTGCTGAATTTCCGAGGACTGTCGTTTTACTTTCCAATCGACTCAAAGTTCCAGCCCGGCTATGCTCATGGATTAGGCTCGTTGCAGTTCCCTAACGGGACTTCTCCTCTGGTTGCAAAAACGGCGATTTATATCGGAAATATGCCAGCCGGTGGTAGTAGCGAAGAACACGGCTCGAAAGCGCCACCGCCACCTTTACCGCTTGTAATTACGCTTTTAAGCTTCGGCCGCATTTGCGTGTGATCTCTTCTAAAATAAGATGAATGGATCGTTAACGCGCCATGTCTTTTAACAGGTCTGTTATCATAACAATTTGTACTTAGAAAAAGCTGATATCATTAGAGACAAAGCACGCACCAGGGGGCTTAGATTGCATCTCTTCACAGAAGGTAGTTCCGGAACGAGGGTACTATTGGAGCCGAAGAAACGATGTTTAATCAAAGAGGTTATACTTTACCATTAGATCGTATAACGCTGGGACAAATTTAAGATCATATTTGAAATATACCGTTCGCAGAAACGAGACTTGGAATTCGTATGATTAATTGTGACTATCCTTTATCACTTCAGGTATTATTCGGAGACACTTGCGAAGATGTTTTAAGTGCACTCGGTGCCCCGTCTAGAGTATTCTATAAAGCCGAAGACAAGATGCGTATCCACAGTCCACACGCGCACAAGCGGGACAAAATAAGACGGTCGGACTTCTTCTATAATTATTTTACTTTAGGTTTGGTGAGTATTGTATTTTCGTCCTATTATGTACTTTTTTTTTATCTGTGTGTTGATCTTGTTTTTCTTTTTTTGCATTTACTATTGTTCACAGGATGTCTTATTCAACGCCAAAACTCAATGCGTGAAAAAGTTTGTACTTCACACCAATTATCCGGGACACTACAACTTTAATATGTATCACCGTTGCGAATTTTCTTTAACTTTGCCTCCTGAGAATAATTCCACGGAATCGGGAAAACTGATCGACGTTTCTCCCTCTCCCGTTACGGTAAGATATTTCGATACGTTTTTTTTTCTTCTTTTAACGAGACACTTTACATTATTATTCTATTATTAACGAGAGCTCGATCTAATCTTACTTTGCATAGATCACTGCCTATACAAAATGGGATAGAGTGAGCGAGCAACTGAAAGCAAGCGCGCGCCCCGTGGTATTGAATCGTGCATCTTCAACAAACACAACCAATCCATTTGGCTGCACATTTTGTTACGGTATACGTGATGCAATTGTCGAAGTTATGGCAAACCAACATATCGCGAGTGTAACTTTATACAGAGCAGCGTGACGTTGATAATTTACATGAACCAACGCATTATGGTGCGTAACTTGAGACAACGGTAAAGAACGATTATTCATGATAGAGTCGTTTTATCTCCTAAGATCTTAAATCTGGCGAATAAAGGTAAGAGAGAGAGAGAGAGAGAGAGAGAGAGAGAGAGTGAAAGGAGGGTAATAAACATAGGACTGTTCACTTTACTTGTACCTTTTGCAATTACAGTTTCTTTGTTATCTTTTTCTTTCTCTCTTCTTTTCTTCAATCCAAACATATGCCCAAACGTATGTCCATATATTATTTAAAATACAGAAAGTGTTATAAGAGATGTAACTAAAATGAACAGATTAAACTAAAATGGTAATAGTTATACACAAAATAATATTGGGTGAAACGTATATTTGTAAATCACTTGTGAATAATTTTGAATATACATTTGTATATGTATTAGGATATATTTTACACATTTAACGAGCGCTAATACATTTACAAACGTGTGTTTAAAATCTTCATCTGTTATTAGTGAATATATTTTGCCCAATACGCGCATAGAATACTGAGCTTTTTTCTAAAATTAATATTATCACGATTTTAGAATACACGGATGTTATATAAATAAGTTATATAAGACGTGAATATTACAATGATAAAACAGTGGTTATATGTAAGATGTATAAAACTTAGATATTATTTCAAAACACTTGTGTAGTTACATGTAAGATATACCATTTTGTTCAAGTGTTTTTTCGCAATTTTGGATGCTGGCATTATTTTCAAGTTGATTTTACCTTAACGAAAATTTCATTGAAAGCTGTCTTTTTGTATGACTAATTATCATTGTGATTTTTAACATTAAATATCTTGACTAAGCAACTAATTGTATTGTAATTAAACAAAGATTTTGTTACTTATGTGTTTACAACTAAATATTGATATCTTTTTATC